AGTGCTGCCCTGTGCACGCGCATTCCTGGGCAGATTCTCATCATCACGCACCAGCACACCCCCTCCCCTGCGCGCCTTCCCCCCGCGCCTTCCCCCCCTTATGCCCCCCCCCGGCCTTCCTTCACGGTCCCCCCCTAAGGCCTGGTCGCTGGCCTCTACAAGGGATTCCTGGCCAACGTCGTGCGCAGCGTGGGCGGCGCACTGGTGCTGGCCCGGAGCCCCGGACATGACCTCTGATGGCCACCACTCCGCATGTTTAGAAAAGCATGGGTCAAAAGATCCGAATTTTTACATATAATTAAAATGCATTTTTTCTTTCCCTGACTTAAAATTTGTGCCGTCCGCAACCGCAAAGCCGTCTTTCAGGAATTTGGCCGGACCGTTGACATGGTGACGTCCCTATAAGCCCTAAACCTGCACTGTCGCAGCCGTGTGGGCGTAAGATTTCTGTGCGCACACGCAAATGATCACAAACGTCTCCGAATCATCCCTGCAGGTGCTCTACGACCGCGCCAAGATGTATCTGGGGCTTTGAGCCTGAGGCGTGTGTGGCATCTCCAACCAAAGAATCTCCGATTGCCGACATTGCTCTCTGTTTTTTGGGCGGGAGCCCTGAACCCTTCGTCAACTCCTGAGCCCCAAACCGTCTGGTTTAGGGGTTTGTGCGGCACTAGGAAAGTTTGAGCTGGGAGAATAATGATTACGATGGTGTGATGTTGGCTTGCCGTGTCTGTCAAGATGCGAGATTGCGGCTTTGAGTTGTCTCAGGCGTGTGCTCCCGCACATGCCCTGTACACTGAATGCGCTAGACCCGACCCCAACCCCTACATATCCCTACATTGAGTAAAACCAATGTAAAACCGAAGCCCCGACAGCCTCGCAGGCAGCTCGGGGCTGCCATGGTGGGGATGAGAAGGTTGGGATGCAGATGCATTCGCTGTCCCCAGGCCACGATTTCTGGGATTTGGGTGGGTGTAGCTCTTCAGGGATCGGGCGACACGATGCAGGGGGTCTGTGGGTCATCACAGGGCCTCTATATGGAGATACTGAGATACTGACATAGATTATGTTTACAAAAGATATTGACGTCATTTTATGTTACATATAAATAAATGTGTGTGTGTATATCGAATTTACACAGGGAGTATAGGCTTGTAGCTTTGCTCAACAAGCAACGCCCCGCCCCCCTCCCCCCCTACAAATTTTTGAAATAGTGTGGAACAGTGTTTTGGCCGGGCCAACTCGGAACCCAGCCCAATGCTAGGAGCTGTTTGATGATTGGGAGGAACTTGGCTTCTGAAGTCGAGGGTGTACATAGCATACCGTAAACCCTAAACCCTAAAGCCTAAACCGTAGATTTACATGTTTCCTGCCCCTACTTGATCTTCGGCAGAGAGTCTCTGGGGCTTCTTTTCGGTCATTCAACAACCTTGTCCAGTCGGCCGGGGCCCGCAACTAGTGTACTGCCTACCTTGGAGATGCCAGGGATCTTCGACTCCACAAAAATACCTTTCATCTCTGTTTATGTGGACGATAAGCTAACCTTCAACAGGGTCCACTTAGTCCACGAAGGACCTCAAAAGCGCGGGTCGTTTTGCTCAAGCACCTCAAAGCCAAGGTTTTCCTGGACCGCAGCTGGTGAGCAACTTTTTGGAGAGATCGCAGGCCTTCCATGGCCTTCCCATCTGAAAGTTTTCGTTTGGCCATGGGGTCGTATCTTAGGTTTTGCCAATGAAGAAAGGCTGCGTTCGATCCCGTAGCCGAAGACAAGATTGGTCTCGATTAGGTGCCGCTGGCGTTCACCGGCACAGGCAAAACACGCCGCTCTGGACGATAGAGACAGATTCTCACCTCGTTTTGACATGACTTGCCCTAGCAGGCACACATCGTTTCGAACTTGAAATTCGTTTGCACTGGACGACGGTGTGGCAGTTCGACTGGCTCCACTAGGTCATTCGAACTGTCAAGAGACAAGATGCAATGGAACCGCCGCCTGTGAGCTTGAAACAGTCCTTAAATCCGTGAGCAGCTTTGTTTCAGAATGTGTGCAAGCCTAAGAACCTTTGGTTAAACTCTCAGCCCTAAAGCCTGAACCCCCAAAACCCGATGACTGGGACAGAGCTGTGCGGAGCCCTGTGGGCCCTATTCATAGTCATCTGTGGAGGCCAGGGGGCTCCGACGCTCATGATCTCTAACACCGCGCGCTGGGCTTCAGAAGGGCCAAACATGGGCCAATGCATGGAGGAGCAGGGCCACAGGAATCACGATGAGCTTGCTTGATCCATGGCAAATCCACGGCCTAGCAGAGAGGAAGCGACACGAACAGGCTGAGAGAAAGGATGGATGCCCAGTTCTGGGTCCGACTGTGTTTGTGTGGAGCGGTACAGTAAGTGTATCTTGCATATAGAGGCTTCGTTTTTTTTCAATAGTAACGGTGCCACGATGTTTCGCCATCGCCGCCTGTGCGGCTTGCTGTGGAGCGCAAGCTGCGCTCAGCGCAGGCGCTGCGGGGGTTTGCATGAAGAGGGTTGAAGGCGTTGGGGAAGGGGTTTGGGGGAGAGCTAGTCCAGTCTCTGTCTGACTGTTGCGGCCTTGCACCAGATGTCAGGCCACGGAGGCAAAGGGTGGCGAAACTCCGCCTTCGGAACTGAATCAACACCCGCCTGTCATTAGCCCACCAGTAGGAGCACATTCTAGATTGGGCGCGAGCCCGTTTTAGAGGGTGGCCCCAGTGATTCACGGTGTTCAAGCATGTTGGGCATGTTGACTTGTGTCAGGTGTGGGTGGCCGATACCCGACCGATACCTCCTGAATCATGCCTGCCAGATTGACTTGTGTCGGCAGATGTGGGTGGCTGATACTCGACCGATACCTCCACGTGAGGCAGCAGAAATGAGAATTAAGGGACCGCTCCAACGAAAATCTACCAGCTCCCGGAAACGTCGATTCCGGTACTGAGCCTGTGCTACAAATCAATGGAATTCCAGCCGGCTCCCGGAAACGTCGATTCCAGTACTTGTACCTGCAAATCATAGCATTTTTTTTTTGTGTGTGTGTGTGTGTGTGTGTTTGTTTTTAATCCCTTCCCCGCAACATTACAGCCTATACCCCCCCCCCCCCCCCCCCAAGAAAAACAAAAACCCAAAAAATCCCAAAAGGTTTTCAGTATTTGGAGGGTTCTTATTCAAACCGCCCGTCCTTGTAGCTTGCTGGCTCATAGAGCACGTCTCAAAGCTTTCAGTGGGCAAAACGCGTCCAAAAGCCCCCACACCCCCCCCCCCCCCCCCCGCCCCCTTTCCATTTTCCATGGCCCAGTCTCCCTTAGGCGCTGTTCGGGAAGAGTCACAACCTAACCCCAGAGTCGAAATGTGCGTGCGTATCCTGGACCTTAAGCCTCAAAGCAACAAGGGTAGTCAGTACTGGGTCAGTATCGGTTCGGGCAAGGTTGCGCGACCAGCAGCGAGGCAACAAAAAAGGAGATCGCGGCTGTGAAGCCTGTTGTAACACGCAGGCTCATGCAGAAGCCGGGCACCGCAAATGTGGGAGTGGCAAAACAAGAAACCGAAAATGTGGAGGGGGTGGGGTTGAAGGGCAAAAACGTGGGGTGCAATCTGTCCGGGGGCCGTTGGGAGGGGATTAGATGATTGGAGCAGGGTCACCCTGGGTGTCCTGCTTTATGATACCCAGACACCTACGGCCCGATGCCTCCGCGCAGCAATGACCCCATGCAGGTGCCTGCGCGTGGTGTCCGGCAGCGTGCGCGCCTGGGACAGATTTTCAAACCAAGAGGGTGTGGATCCCTCACCGAAACTTCGGTTAGTAAGAATTGCTTAAGATGTGCAGGTCGCCACCAGTCCCGCGTCCTGCCGCCTGCTTTCAGGCCTTCCCTAAAGCCCCAAGGAGCCCTAAAGACTCAACTCTCGCGAGACCGGAACTGTTTCGAACTTGAGGTGCCCTCTCGAATACAAGCCAGGGGCTCGATGTGGACAGGCGAGTGCAGAGTTCATCGTGTTATGGGGGTGTATGGGCTAGTGATGGGTTGCGATGGGCTGTGCCCTCGCCATCTTTGAAGAGCCAACGTTTTGATGTGTCACCACATGCATCGGGTACCACCGTTGTAGCAGACGAACCATGGAAAATCGGGCAACGCAGAAGTCGCAAGGAGCTCGGACGTGCTGCCGGTGTCGCAGAAGATACAGAATGCCAGGCGACCTCTGGCGGTTGTCTGCGTGCTGACCTAGTCATCGGCGGTGAATTGCAATCCTGCACTTGTGACAGAGCGACCTTTGTCACTGTGGTTCCAACATGAATGGTAGGCAACCTCATGCGGCCAGCTGGCCGGCATCGCTTAGAGCAGACTCGTCGAGAATGCGCTGACAAGTTTTGTAACGACCCTCACAAGCTCCTTGCTTTTTCTGAGAAAATTCGACATCCGATGAAAGAAACAAAAAAAATAAATAGCAAAGCTGCGCCTGCTGCAACTTTGGGGTTCCTGATATGGCCTGTGTTAGACTGCGGCCCTTATGTAGGGTACGCGAGTCCAGACCCTGCTGTTCTTGTAGGGTGAGCAACCGAAGTTTAAGGGTTTTCTTGGGCTTCGGCAGCTGCAATACCCTGAAACCGTACACCCTAAGCCCCTAACCTTTCAGAAAGAGCTCCGGACAGTTGCATCCTCCGCTGGGCCGAGCAGACACCAACCTCGGTGACACTGCGCGACCTCTGCGAGATCGGGTTGGACAGCGTGGAGCACAGAGGATGCCTAGCCAGTATGCAGGTAAAATAATCGTAAGATTCATAAGTCATGACAGAGTAAAGTCATTCCTATTTCTACGATTGTTGTTATGATGACGCTGATTGATACTGTTACAGTAAGTGTGACTTCAGTACTTGGGGTTGTGGATTGGGGGGTGGACACTGTGCTTGGCTTCGTGTTAAGGTACAGCAAGTATTCATGACGAACCAGGATGTTGCACACTTATGCACATCAACTTCTTTTGCACATGTCTGCAATCACCGCATGCCACCGCGGTAGAAGCAAGGCCGCAGTGTTGCAAGTGAGTCGAAATATTCTACTTTATAGGGGTCTTAGGGTCTTTACACACTGTTTTTACTACGGCCCACACAGATTCCATTTTATTAGGGCCGTAACTATAATTTCATAACGGCGTGCAATAAGAGCAATAAAATTGTGAGCACGCCAAAAGACTTACTTCTTCCTTCACGCTTGATTAGTTGACTTCGTGCGTGAACTTACAACTCAAGAAATAATGCTTTCTCTCTTCGTTCGTATCTTATTCACATGCTGATATAATATCCAGATCAAACCGAAGCGGTCGATTCCACCTTAACGGGACATTGCGCTGCGGCGGCCCACACCTACTCCCAAACCTCGGATAGATATCGTCCCAGATACCCTGACCCCCCCACAATCGAATGACAGTCCAGAAGCTCTCGAAAGCCTCCTTTGTACTCAGGTCAACGGCGGCGCGAGCATGGGATCTTCCTCCACCGGGATCGAAGTTGGTTGGTCCTGGGTAGTAATTGTGGAGGGTCTCAATGTTTGGGATGTTGGGGGGGTTTCCGACAAACCAGGACCCTTTGTGGCGGATCCTAGAATAATCGTTATAAGGAGTATCGTCTGTTGTGGTATGTTGTGATATTCAGGGGTGCCCCTTTTCTAATGAAATACACGTTCCAAAGCATTTTGCAGAGCCAGGAGCTCCGAATACGCCTGGCGCAGAGAATCCTGGAGCTGGCATCGCTGCCGCCACATGACGCATGTTTCGCGCAGGCATGCGTGCTTGTATCAGGCAAGATACGCTCAAGTAAGCAATCAAAACCCCGAAGCCCCAGAGCCAGTTTCCTTCAAAAGGCACCTTGAGTCTCGACTCGAGTCCTTGCGAAGCGAAGATCCTTCCATGAGGATGAAAGCCCCCCCGCCTCTCCCCCCCTTCCCCTGGCCCCTCCCTGAAAAAGTTGCTTTCTATTCTGGGCCGCCCGCTTTCTGTTGCATCACTCCGAGGCGTTCTCTAGTCGATATGATCCCAACTGTCGGGTTCCGACAGTGCCCAAGGTTCCCCACCCCCCCCATTCGCCCCGAAAGATAAAGATACTCTTGCAAGGTATCGCTTGGGGGAACGGCGAGGCATCCGGGATGTGATCGAGTGGTACACGGACTTCATGCACCTGCTGGAGGTGGTGGCATAGGGTGGTTTGGAGGGGGCAGGAAGGCTTTGGGACATGAGGTGCAGTTGTTTGCACCTTCGGTTCTCCGGTTGCCGAGTGGTCTTTCAGGCTTGAATCAGAGCTAGGTCGTTCAGTTTAAGTATGGCTCTGCGGTCTGAGCTTCCCTGCTGAGGACTCGCCCAGCCCGACAACGGAGGCAGATTGGGCGCAGCGTTGCTTTGCACACTGGCCTATTTGCTTCTCATATCTTGAAGACAGGGGAGTTGCTAACGCCGCCGCTAAGTTTGAGCGCCCAACCGCGAAGCAAATGTTTGAGGCGGTCCCTCGTGGCCTGTTGCCAGGGCCGAACCGAGAACCCTCCGCAGACGAACCTTTACTGTATGTAGGGCTTCGGGATTCGGACTTAGGCATCAACTGCCGTAAATTGCCGTACGTACAGGACTTTGGGCAGCTAAATTTCAATCCTTCCTAGGATCCCCAGCTATCCATTGGGGGCTGTGTGGATGTGGGATTGCTGGTATGCCGCTTGAATTCCCTGCAGGACCTGGACGAAGAGTTTACCAACCTCCTGACACGGATCTTCGAGGAGCCTGCAACGCAGAATTGAGGCACCCAAACTGGACGCCCTCAATATCCACAAACTTATCCCAACCCTATGCTGAAAGCCCGAAACTGCCTCTGAAAGCCCCCCACCCTTAAGCCCAGAGGTCAGCACCATTCCATGTTTGGGTTGCCCGGCTTTTGTGCAAACTGCCGATTTGGGCCCTCGGCCCTCGGGTTGGGAGCTTGAGGGCTCAGGGACAGGAACAGCTGGGGAGGGTGCTTCGGGTCTTTAGCACTCGGGTCAGACTTCTATTTTCCAAGCATCCTCACTCCTGGGAACCCTCGAGGAGCACTCGGAGGTCATCCAAGCTGCTCGGCCAGGAGGTGAACCGAAGCCCCAAAAACAGACCGGGGGCCTCAGCAATCCTTAATGGCCCCAAACATCCACCGGCCACCTCCTTGGAACCCAGGCCATGGCTTTCGGGGTGCAGGACCTCATCCACGAGCTCCAGGAGGAGATTTCGCGCTGAATCTGCTTGCTGCAGTCTGAGAGCGGTGGGGTACTGTCATCTTGCATGCCTGTGAGCAGTTCCCCGAGTCTGTTGAAAGCTGCTGAGTAGGGCTGTGCGCGCAGTCACCTGAAGGACTATGCATCCGTGCAGGTGGAAGTCGATGCAATACTGCGTCGCTTCTTCACTGCTCGCATTGGGATGCGCTTTCTGATTCAGCACCACATCGAGTCGTTTAGGACCGCGGAGCCCAGACTTCACGATGGGATCTAATGGGGTATTCTCTAGATTAGCGACGGGCATCGGCTGGCTGACAGAAGAAATCCTGGAAAAACAAATTTTTGAAAATGTTCTGAAAAGATTTCTGAAAAACTCTGACTCCAAAAATGTTCCTGGAACAAAAATTTGGAATATGTTCGCGCCAGAAACAAATTCAGACTTTTTTCGAAATTCCGAAGCCCTGCTCCAGGGGCTGGAATTATCAGAAAAACCATGGCATATACAGCACATTTCTGAATTATCTTCTGATTTTTCTGAATTCTGATCTCCCCGCCCCTCCGCCCCCCAAATCCCTGGACCCTGGAGAGGGGCATTTCAGAAGAAAATCAGAAAAGTGCTGTGCATTTCATGCTTTTCTGACTTTCCATCCCCCATGGGGGGCATTCGGACCAGAAGTTTTTTTCAGAAATTTCTGGGCATCCGGAAAGGGGAGGGGGAATCAGAAAAAGCATGGCACTTTTCTGATTTTTTTCTGAAATCTGATCCCCTAGGGGATGATTTTCAGAAATACTCGGAATTCACACCGACTGCAGGTTCAGAAAATGAATCAGAAACATTTCACAGACCAGAAGAATAATCAGAAACCTTTTCAGAAATATTTCAGAAAATAATTCAGATCCGCATTCGCTTGAGCCAGCGGCGCCCGTCACTACTCCAGATGCCATGGGCCATGCCTGCATTCTATGTAGTTCACTTAGTTTGGTGCCTGCGCAGAATGTCACGCGAAGTACAATCCAAGCACCAGACTGCAGACCTTTACGATGAATCACGACGTGGCCGGAACTGCCCTGCAGGAACCGCGAGGGCCATTCTGGGATCCTGCAGATCGAGTGCGACCCTTCCATTATCGCACAGAAGGCCTCCGGTGCCAGGGCTGTTTCGGGGGACAATCGAAGTCTGGATGCTCCAGGGGACGAGGCTTCATTGTAGTTCTGTTGTCCATGGTGTTGGCAGACAGGTAGTGGGAAGCATCACGCAGGCCCAGTACTAAGCCAGGCAGGGCGCGAACCCTTGAAGATCTAAATGCGCCATTGGCCGACACCTCGTGTACGCGCGCCCAAAACCCAAACTCCTGAAAAAAGAGCTCGGCCTTGAAAGGCTGCTGGTACCCCAACGCCCCCAGAACCCCAAGCCTCCCAGTCTTCCAAGGCCATCAAGCCCGCAACGCCAAGCCCCCCAGACACCAACACCCAAGGCCCCCAAGGCCCCCAAGAGCCCTGGCCAAGGCAGCCAAAGATAGCTCCATGCTCTGCAGGGCACACAAGGGCCAGGCTCCGCCCATCAAGCAGCTCGGCGGCATTCCTACGTGCAATTGATGTTCTGAAAGACAGGCTTCAAGCCAAGCCGAGGATTCATCATACAAACCCTGGCACGTTCACCTACGTGCCTGGGCTGCCCCGCGTTCAAGTCGGCAGTGTAGCCCTGTCAGGGTCTAAGATGGCAGCGTGTGGCGATCTGAGCCCATGGCCAGGTGCCAATGCACCTCCACTACATGCTTGTGGAGGCTGGGCTTTGGGGCTTTGGTCTTTTGATGACCCCCGTTAAGCGGCACTGTTTTTGGTAAAGTGCTAACAACTATCAACAACTCAATGCCGAGCTCGGACATGCCACCCCACCCCTAGACCCCGCTCGTTCCTCCGATTGGTCGACCCAGACCTGTTTTCAGGTTGAAGTCTCCACAGTCCAGCGAATCCAGTGAGTCCAGTGGATCAACGAACGCCAGACCTCTTCGGCGAATTGATGTCTCTAAAAAAGTTCGAAACCGCCCAATTGCCCACAAGGCCGCAGGTTAACGTGTCTAGAGTCTAGAGAGGACCAAGAAGAAGAGCCAGCAGGTCTTCAAGAACTCCTGCCGTGCAGTCGTCGAGCGCCACGCTGAGGGCTTTGACGACCTGCTCCCAGCCACTCTCCTCGTACCACTTGGGTTGTCGGGTTTGGCTGCAGGGTTTTGTGATCCCGCAGGGTTAACATGGGTTAACGATATTGAAGCCCGTGGCGCTGCATCTCTTGCCTCAGGAATCTGGGGTTCCAGGGCTTACTCGCATGGTCAAGATTTTTCATGCAGGGTGCTCCAGTTTTGTGCATCTTCCACAGGAACCTAAACCCTTGCACAGCTACGATATCCACCTTTCGACAGACTTATATAAGGCCATCCACTGCCACATCGTCCACGGCAACGAGGACGTGACGATGCCCGGCTGTGTAAGAAGCCCCGGGGAAAAACCCAAGTCGCTCTTGAAAAAAATGAAGATCCCCTGTCCCTGAAGCGCCGAGACGTCCAAAGCTCTTCTACTTAGCCCGCCACCTGTTGGCTTCGCCCCTCCTGGTTCCTTGCAGCCGCCCAAGGAACGCTAACCCGCTATCATAGGGTTTAGTAGGATTCTTGCCTGGCCAGAAGCGACTTCCTAAGGATCCGAGTAAGCGACGAAGGGGGCGGCATCGCTCGCGACAAGCTTCCTAACATCTGGAAGTGCCTCGGAGATTCAGATGACTCAACAGCCGATTCTCTTATGTTATGTATATCGCGGCGGTTGCCGCCCATGGTCGAGCACACTGCGACAACAGCCGAGGTTTATGTACACCACGTCCAGACACTTTGGCTGCAGCTATTTTGGTGCCGTATAAAGACACCACAAACACGGCAGACTGCGTAAACCGACAAAACCCTAACGCCCCTTCCCCCCCCCCCCCAATTCCCCCCCCCCCCCCCCAATTCCCCCCCCCCCCCCATCTGGCCGGACGCGGTAATTTTCATGTCCACGAAGCGAGCAGGTCCGCGGTCCAACGCCCTGTGAAGCCTAAATGTATCTAAATGGTTCTTGATTCTTAAGGTATCGCGGCCTTGTTGCGGGAATTCTTTGTGCTGTTGCGTAGAACTTAGCCTCACGGCCGAGTTGTGATCCGCCACCATCTCAGCCCTACCCAAGACAGGGGCCCAAAAACTTTTGAACTGACCTTGTCACAACCCAAGTATGCGAGCAGCCAAGAAAAGTCGCCATGGGCTCGAAGGCCAGGGGTTGGGTTCATCCAGCTTGGAGTTGTGATGAGGTCACCAAGCACAGTTGCATCCGCATCACTTGGCGCTCTCTGAAGTCTGTGCGAACTGTCACACGTGCATGGGGACCTTCAGTGATGGGGTGAGTGTGGTGATGTATGTGGTGTTTAATGTTGTTCACAGAGAGAGAATTTGAGTAAGATTCGAGCCGCGGGTTCCTCATTTTGTACCAGAATGCAGGGAAGAGGAGTTCCAGACAAAGCCAGGGGACTCGGCGAGCAACCCGCTACAGCGACACTGGGGCTGCAGATATGTTGCCGGAAGGGGGGGGGTGCCGAAAAGGTTTCGGGAGAAATTCCAGGTGGACTCTGCGTGGACACTTCAAGCCAAGGCCCGAAACAGGGCGGTGTGCTCGCGGGGCATCTCGGCTGAGACGCAGCTGTGTTGGGATCCGGCCATCGCATTTCGAGGCTGTGAAGCACCTTCTTGTCAGTCACGGCATTTTAGGGTTGGGGCCAGTTGGGCCCGCTTGCATCATGCTTGCATCATGGCTCTGTTGTGCTCTTTTCTTCCGAGCAATTTGAGACTGGAACACAGCTGTTTGTTAATTCAAAGCTAAGTTGCTCTTCGTGTTCTGGCTGTTGAGCTCTGGAAGCCAAGGTTCGGCGTGGGCCTCACACTGGGCCGTTTGTATGCGTGCCTGGGGCTGAACGTGGCATTGCCCAATTCATGGACATGTCAGTTTGAAACGCATGGTGCTGTCCTGCTCCGGTGCCAGCTTTCCCCTCACCACCCAAGATCCCTGGAGCCCAAGGCAGTACTTCGGGGGCGACCTGAAGATCTTGTCTCTGGATGGCTTTGGCACCGATGTGCACACCAGCAGCAATTGTTTAGGGAGGTATAGACTACGGAAGTGAGGCCAGTTGCAACCTGCTAGAGACCTCCAGGGATTTCGGGCTTCGAGAAGCAGGCAGAAACTCGAAAGCTCTGTCGCGTCAGATTCAGAGGGGCCCTTGACTGCCCTGAGCCATCTGTAAATCCCATTCCCAGTGCCCCCAAAACCAAGACTTAAACCCCACAGGCCTTGATCTGTTGAAAGCTTGGGGAGGTTTCTGCACCTCAATCGTCTGGGCACAGCTTGCGAAGACCTGCCGCAGGCCCCCCCACATGCGAACAAGTTCCGAGGGTGTTTTGCTTCTACGTATTCCGTGATATTGGGGTTGGTTCGTTTGAGAGCTCAGGTTTGGGGGATGTGGGGATGAACTAGTGTTGGAAGATTCTAAGGGATCTGTACACCCTGAGTTCGGCAGGCGCTCGCCTTAAACCCTGAAACCCGTCCTTTCCCATGAGCCATATAAGTCCTCCCCCCCCTACTCCCCCACTCGCCCGCACTCCCCCTGCAGAACGTGCTCTACAGCCCCTCCATGCGCGACTCTTCAGCGCTGCAGGAGGTCCAGGAGGACGGCGGGAACAGGGGTCCCTTTGGGCACTGTCAAACACAAGGGGACGACAAGCTGGCATGGACCTGCAACACCCAGCGATGGAAGGAGACGCTTCTCATCTCAGCCGACGAGGAAGCTTTCTTGCGGCGAGAGCACCTTGGCACGCCTTCTACTTGCGGGCTCTGCAGATGATGTTGGTGTGAGTGTGAGCCATCGCCTGGTGCGCAGCTTTCAGTCGGAATGCATTGAAGTGATGTCATCCAAACTCTGAGCCCCGAGCCAACAGACTGAAATCTATAGCTGGCGCGAAAGTGCATCGACATTTCAGAACTTCAACAGCAACAATAGCATGTCGTCGAGACGGCTTGAAGTAACCCTGTGCCTGTGCCTGGTGCCAGTAGTGGTCCGATGAAGAAGTGTCTGGCCCTTTCCCTGAACAACCGCCCTTCCAGCCCTTCCAGCCCTCTCTCTCAGGCTGCAGGCATTCCGTCGGCGGGAGGAACCGAGCGATGCGTCGAAAATTGTTGTCCCGACTTCTCTTCAAGGGTTGACTTTAAGATGTGAAGGGCCTGGGGTGGGTTTAGGGTACTGCGACCCAGGTTGTGGGGTTTGGGGTCTGGGCTTGTCGTCGGCATCTCCTTGCATCGTGGACGGTCGAAGGGCTTTGAGCGGTTCAGTGTGTGCTCAAGTCCATGCCGAAGCTTCTGTCAGCTCAAGAGTAGCGGACAATCAGAAGATGGGGTACCACAGAATAGACTGGAGTCCTACTGTGCATCTGCAAGCATCCTCGAAACCCCTCCAACTCCAAGGCCCACAAGGCCCACAAGGCCCACAAGGCACACAAGGCACACAAGGCACACAAGGCCCTCGACCCTACGGAGCCCTAAACTCCTAAACCAATCCCAGAAGCAGAGCCGGTAACACCCAAATCAAAAGCCCGGTGCAGAATTCGCGGCCGCTGCAGGGCAAAGCCCGCGAGAGCCACCCCAGGGCCCCAACGTTTGAAAGGTTCCAGAGCTCAAGTTCCTTTGGACGCTTGTGTTTTTGGGGGACTTTAGGATGAAAGAGCCTTTGAAAGGGTTCGGGGCTCAGCCATCGTGTTCAGGGTCTCGTATAAATACTTGTCCCTTGCGTTTCCTCTCAGGATCCGATATCCAGCCTTTACCCGCTTTACACAAAGCTCCTTGAGTCCCCTCCCCGAGTATCCCCAAGTATCGAGAAAGAGGAGCCTTTCTTTTACGGGTTCAGTCTGAAAAGCTCGGAACTGAGGGCCGGGAAGCTGGCCCGGGGCTTGAGGCCTCTTTCTTCCTCCGTCTTAGGATATTTGGGCAGTGCCGACGCAAAGTGCGGAAAGTGCTGTGAGACCCAAGGCATTGACGTAGTGGTTCGTAGTTGATGGAAAGCACCACTACCGCAGCGCCGTCCAGCGACAGTGATGACGAAGCGGCTCCTTGGATGAGAGGGTACCAAGATGGCTAAGCATCCGTACGCAATCTGGAATAGTGTGTGTGTGTGTGTATGTGTGCTCGCGCGCGCGCGCGCGGGTGTGTGTGTGTGTGTGAAACCAGGTCTCATGGTGAAGCTTCTCTTCTTTTCTTTAAGTTGATTGGCTCCTCCGCCCAGTGTACAAGGTCTGTAAAACGCAGACTTCTAGTCGAGCCCGGCGACCTAGGCCTCAAACCATCAGAACCCTAAACTGCTTCTGCAAGCGCTAGACCATGCCGCTGCTGCATGTCAAAGCGGCCAAAGTACTGTTTCAGTCTGACAGGCCCAGTTCAAGCTGCTCCTTACAGTGCTCAGCATCCTGGTGCTGACCTTCCTTTCCCAAACCTTCACAGGCCTGCAACCGACGCACTCCGCACGTGCTTTGAAGAAAGCTCAACAGTTAAACGCTGTACTTTAGGACCTTTTGCGCTGGCCTTACTTCTTGCACTGACCGCAAAGCTTCGCCTCCTTTCAGTGTTTAGTAGTTGAAGGCCGCAAAAATGTGTGTAGCATAGTCTCTATTTGGGTACGATAAAGCGGACGTCATCGAAGTGCTGCAACCTCGCATGTCGCGCAGGTCTTAACATTGGGCTCATGTCCCTGGATACGGCGCAGCTGCAAGCTTCTCTGCCTGACCTTCTCGCAACGGTTTAAAATATGGATGCTTGCTAGGCCTACAGTGGCCTGCGGTGGTCTTCTGTGGTACGTTGGAGTCGGGGTTGACAGGCCAACAGAGGAACTCGGAATTCGGTATTCGTGGCTTCCTTGGGGCTCTTGCGCTGTAGAAGAGACAATGCTGCTTGTCATAACTTTTGCAGAGCGCGGTGCTGGCATGGCCCTTTCCCCTTGGCTTCTTGGCAGGTTCTCATAGATGTGCCGAACAAGGACGAGAGTGCGATGGACTCCGCGAGATACGCGCGACTCCCGTCTCATAGAACTAAGGTATGTTGAACCCTTCCAGCAACGAAGCACGCGTTCAAGGTCTACAAGATGAGCTTTGAAGGTTAGGCCTTTGTTGTGAAGAATCCCAATTTGGATCCTCCAGCTTCGTGCACCTTTCCCAACGGGCCAAGTGCCTCGAACACTTCGAATCGCCGGAACCGAAGGAAAGATATTGCCGCTTCGCCGGAAGGGGCCCCTTGGCTTTAGTTCCCACGAACAAGGTGCAGATGTTTGTTTCTTATGATGTCTTATGCTGTCAGCAGTCCCTCCCCCCGCCCTCCCGCTGCCTTTGAAACTGTCGCAGTTTACATCAGGCCAGCTAACCCAGTGACCTCAACCTTACAACCCAGGGTCATACCAGATTAGTTTCTTGTTAATCATGCAGCTGAGCGCTGAAGCTATTTGGTTTAAGGGCCCTTGCAAACGGCCGACGCCGAGATTGGAAGAGCTCAGGAACCTGCTGCTTTGCACGATTCTCCTGGGGAACACTGCAGTCAACGCCTTGATGGCACAGCTGCCTCATGGCTTGTGCATCCGAGTACGCGTGAGAGATTGCGACAGCTCATGTGTGAGATTTCGGTCGGGGTTGGAGGCATTCAGGTGGTAGAGGTGTTGACAGGGGCGGTGGCAAGATCCAGCTTCGTCTTTCTGCATTTTGTCACAGGATTGTCACGAAAGCTAGCTCCTTGAAGCTTGTGGGGGTTTTGTTTACATTCTTCTTGTCTTGGGCCAACTAGGACTTGGTTGGGGGGACCGTTGGCCTGATATCAGGGTGGGGGGGGGTGCCCTTTTGCCTGTAGTCAGAGGGACAACTGCGCGCTGTGTCCCCACCCGCCCTAACCTTGAACACCCTCGCCTCGCCTCCTAAGAACCTGCAGCTTGTCGACACACTGCAAAATTTCCACAAGAACAAGAACTGTAATTCGAAACTCTGCCATGTGCCGAATTTTCAAGCCGAGGCTTGCAGACTATGCAGGCACATTTGGGATCCACGCTTCGGGTTTGAAGGGCTGGTGTACGTGGGTGCAGGAATTGGGAGGTCGGAGGCCTTTCGCCTTCTTGCACCAAAATAGGCACGGCCGCAAGATAGATCGTGTGTATCAGGTAGGTCATGAATCTCGGCACATTTAGTTTCCCTGGTCTGGCTTCGCGTGTCCCCCTGAACAGAGCGCCTTGACCTTGCAAAGCCCAAAGCGCACCCATGGGAGCCCGCAGCCCGCAACTTTGGTGAGGCGGCTTCATCGGCTTCCTCCTGACGACTGCGATTATCGTCATCTTGTGCGAGATCGCTGGGGCCTTGTCTAGCTGGGATATGAGGGCACGACCATCCTTACTGCAAGTGTCCCAAGAACGACCTGAGTATCCCAAATTTTGGGGTTTTGGAGAGCCAGGTCCCGCAGTCGGTGTGCACCCGGCACGGCCTCTTCCTGGGGGCAGCCGGATCGCCCATCATCAAACTGGCCATGGTGCTGTTCTACCCGATCACGAAGCCGTGCCTGGGCACCAGCTTTGCGGGGCTGAGCAGGGATCGGGAACAAGTTCTTGAGAGAGTTGGGATCCCAGTCCCTTGTCGCCGGCCTCAAGACTTCTGAGTCAGGTATGCAATCGTCCTGGACCAGCTGTTCCCACAGCGAGCTCCCTGGCAAGCTCCACAAATATTGAGCGGAGTATTCAGAGGTTAGTAGGTTGGGTTCTTGGTATTCGGAATTCGGGTCTTCCAACCAAACCCTGACCCTGATTGCCCTAAAAGACACCAGGTCCACTTCGTGCCATCCCAAAACCCCCAAAGCCCTAAAGGCCCTGATCGGAAGATGCCGCACTACATTATCGCTGATGTCCTTCCCTCTCCCCGGTCTCCCCCCTCTCCCACTTCTTCCCCCGATCCGACTCGGAGCCCTTGTAGAATTCAGTTTGTTCGGGGGTTCAGGGTTCAAGGTCGGGTTTTGCGGGGATGTTCGCGGTGAGGGCTTTGGGCTTTGGGTTTGAAAGGTTATAAGAGCTCTTCGCCCCCCAGGAAAATCTTTTGGACCGGAGTCAGCTCCAGGCGCTGGTAGAGCACCACGGCTGCCAAAGCGCGCCAAACAGGACTTTCTGGATAAAGCCGAATTAGGGCTCCTGGTTTTTAGAATTCTAGGTCGTGAGGGTTTCTGGGTCCTCATCAGTTTCGTACGTGAACAAATCCAAGATCGTTGGAATTTTCGGATCGCCAAGCTTCGGGGTTGTCCTGGGGCCGAGGTTGATTCGTGCTCGGGAGAAGGAGGGGAGCCTGTAAACTGTGAAGCCTGCAAACCTTGCAAAACCCAGAGATTCTGATCTGTGGCCTGCGAGGTATCAGAAATCTGCGGCCCCTGGCATGCTCGTCGAGGGGCAAGCGGAGATGCTCATAGGCCCGTACAGTAGTGCAATAAACAATGAAACTATAGCAAGCCATCACGAAGCCCCCAATGGGCCCTGGACCCTCTAAACTCTATAAGCTTAAGAAGCCCTCTAAACCCTGTAAACCCGCTAGGAAAAAACCCCTGCAAAAAGCCAACGCATAACCCCAAAAGATCCAAGAAACACAAATAAGTCCCAACAGCCTGCGGAGCCGCCTGAAGCCCATAGGTGCATTGGGAATGACCCAGAAGACTGTTTCTGAGGCCAGGGGGGGTTCTTGATTTTGGTTGGGCGTTTGTTGAGGGCTTGGGCTTGGGGTGCAGTGTTTGGGTCTTGGCGCGTAGTTAGTATTAACCTTAAAGCTTAAAACCTGAAACCTAAACCCTGGGTACGGTGAACGCATATCATAAGAAAGCGTTCCAAACCAGAAATTAGGCCCTCACCAAACTTCCGTTTCTTCATCCAGGGTCTGGCAGAAGGCAGAATCTCTTTTTGACGTACACTGCATGCCTTGAAATCTTTGGACGCGTAAGCCCTCAGCCCTCGAACCTTCCGGCCCCGGCCTCCAGCCCCCCTTCAAACCCTCCAGCCCTTGCCAGCCCTCGGCCCCTGCCAGCCCTCCAGCCCCTCTGGCGCTCCAGCCCCTCCAGCCCTCCTGGGGTTGGGGGTTTACATTCGTTCGTTTCAGCACCTGACGCTGAGCCGCTTTGAGGTTTCAGTTGTCTTGCTCCGTTCTTTTCGGTTTAGGCTCCGTTGAAAGAGCCATTAGCCAAACACGGAAACTTCGTCACCTAGGTGATATAGGAACCCATAGGAAAACCCAGTACCTTTGTTTGGCAGGTGATGGTCCCTCTGCAACGGGCGTGCTGCTTAAGCCTCAAGGTCTGCGGCACAAGGGTGTGTTTGCGCGAAGTGCGAAGCAGGTGTAGTTTGAATGCAAGTCGGGTCACCTTTGCTTCGGTAGCAGATCTGTCCAGTTGCAGCTGTCGTTCACATACTCTCCGCCCTTCAGATTTGGGGCCTGGGCCGACGAATAGATCGGGGCTGGTAAGTCTCTGAAACTATCGTAGTATGCTGGCCGACATGATGGTGGATATTCTTCCTCCTACGACTGAACCCCACACCCTTTCTAGGGGTGCAGGGGGATACAGAGTACTGAGAAGTCTTCCTCAGGACGTGCTCGACTTCGCGTTCATCGCAAGCGTGATTCAGAGACCTAACCGAAGTTACTGTCGTAGATTGTCGTAGGCTTCTTCATTTGTGTAGGCTCATGGCAGGATGCGCAGAAGAGAACCTTCCTGTACTGGAGACTTGCGTCTCGAGTTGTCGGGACTTTCGCAGATCTGGCCTAAACCCTAGAACGCTTTTGGGCAGTAAGGCGCGGCTACAGCCGCTTCCCAGTGGTGGATCCTGCCTCTGGACAGGCACACACTGGGTTCTTCTCGCGGTTGGCTTGGGATGGTTTGGGAAAGCTTGGGGCTTTTTGGGGGTGGCATTGCTGCAGAATGTCGCAGGCTCCGGTCATCTTGGCTTGCAAATGACATACTTCCCACCGGGTTGATGGGCTTGACCTCTCTCATACTTTGACGTGGTGGGTGGCCCATGGTGGCCCCCCGCCAGGCCCCCTCCCAAGGCCCCGTTATGCTTCTGAGGGCGGCGCCTTTGTCGTGTGTCGCGAAGCAAGCCCGACTCGGGGTTGAAGGGGTCGGTATAGTATTGCCTCCTCACGGGTGCTCGCTACTTTCGTCCTGGGCCCCTCTCAAGTGGAACTGTTGTCTGTCAGGTGGTTGGCCTGCTCCACTGTAAAGATCTGCTGAGTCTGCGAGTGGTTGATGACGACCCTGTGCACAACGTGCGAGACCGGTCTGCCTGCACCCCAGTCTGGGGTGTACTGTAGCTCGCAGGACTTTGTGTGGTTCAGTCTGCAGTGTTGTTGGGTGCGTGGGACGTGTGGGTCAGTCCAGTCATGCACCTGGTGCACGACCCGCAAGGTGACCCCTCAATGTCTGGTTTTTTGTCGATGCTCCTCGTCACACAACCCCATCAGCGCGATGACTTTTTTACTTCACTCGACCGTTGTAGCATGTTGTAGCTACCCTTCAACACTCGACTCTGCCGGAAACTCTGCAGACCTCATTTCCATGATTTCCCAACAGTGGCAGTGGCAAACAAATCCAACCAAACTCCCCAAGCCCCGAGACCTGCACTGTTGGCGAGCTCCTGGAAGCACTGCGCGTTGCGGGCCGAGAGAGGTGCGGGTCTGGGAGGAGTTTTAGTGGGAAAATGTTTGGTGCTTGAAGACTTGCGTGCTCATTCATTTTGAGAGGCATATCTTCGTGTGCGGGAAAAACACAACGCTGATGGCTTTGTTGGCAGAGTCTGGAGCCCAGTTGTCAACAAAATGCCAGGCAGCTTCCACGCACTTGCTTTGATACACCGACTTCAAGCCGTGACATCACGACGCAACAGCCAAAGCTGCAGCACAGCAGATGAACAACCTGTGCTCCACTTCACTTCTTGCTTGCAGCATCTTGCATACTTGGCAAAAGCACGGCATCGCAGCTTAATCACACCCCAGTGTCAAACCCGACCAAGTTCCAATCAACCAAATCACGTCCACAAGTTTCTTGTGAACCCGAACTCAGGTTCAAGCGTGCTCCGCATCTGGCAGTCGTCGCCGACAGTGCGGCTGATGGATTGGCACCCGCAGATACTCGACACGTTGGCATCTTGGCCTCCACGAGTTCGTAAGGTTTATGGGTTTATCGTAGTGTCTTGTTTCAAGAGAGTGCAGCGCAGTGCCTACGAGGAGCCAAAAGAGAAGTCAAGCACTCATGACAAATTATGGCCGGACGAACAAACAAACCGAATGCAATTCCGGACCCTCAAGAGGCCAATGTCAAACCCCGATTCCATCTCCAGTGCGGCTGAGCAGTCGCTGAGGCATTGTGACCTTGCATAACATCTTCGGAACCATCCTGCATCTTGGGCTGTGATCAGGGCTCTTTAGTCCCAGATGGAAATCTGCCTTGCGTTGTCTGCCTGCAGCCAGTCACGGCTGTCCGCATTGTCTTTTCGGTCAGCTGTTTCGACGGGTTTGGGTCGCTGGAGGGCTTCCTTGGTTGCTCGTGCAAGTCAACTTTTCTCTCACTTAGACTGTTGCCTGGGCGCTTCCCCCCCCACCGCAGAGTGCAGGCAAGCCCAGGTGGGCTTCTCCGAGGATGACGGGGGCAGCCCCAGGAGGCATCGAAAGGCGCATCCTTCCGAGGGAAAGCAATGCTTGTGGGGTGAGCCCTCTCTAAATGACGGCCCCTGTTTTGGAACCCCATTATGCTACGACCCCCCTGCAATTTTTAGGGCACCCAACAGGGACCATAAGTCTTATGTTCACGTTATCGGGTTCATGTTTGTATGGTGCTCATAAGGTTCTTGGGTCAATGAATCCGAAAGGGTCATGCGGAGAATTCAGGGAGCTTAGGCAGGATTGCTGAACTGGTTTGCTTGAAAAACCGTCCAAAGCTCTGATTTCTTGATCCCAGGTTTTGGGGTTCAGGGTTTGGATTCAGATCAAAGCCAGAAGCGGACTCTTCAGAGCTGAACCCCCCAACGCCTGGACCAGGCTGGAGCGCTCCAGCTTTTTGAAGCTCGGACTGGATCGGTGGTAGCCTAATGGGGTAAACCATATATATATATATACACATAATCTTAGTATATGCTATATACATATGTAATAAATTATGTCTTATAGTAGCATCCGGTAGCAGTACTTAGTACTTGCTCGCTTGCACTTGGTATATTACGAAGTTGCTTACGTAGGCTCTGCGGCTGCTGTTTAATTGCGCCACCCGCATAAAGGGGGGCAGCTGCTGTCAGGCAGCTACCTGGCGACGCTTTGACCTCCCCAGTAGAAAATACTAATGGTGCGGAATGGTGCAGAAATGGTACAGAATGGCGCATAGCACGAAGGCTGCAGGAGGGGTTGTGACAGTGCTGCCCTGTTGGGAGCCCAAGATGCTTCTAAGAGACGCCTTGCAAAGGTTGACAGCTGGCTTACGCTCCGGTGTGGTTTTTGCTTCTCAGTTGCTTGACACTGGCCTTCCTGCATATACGTAGGATCACATTGCTAACAATGCCTTTGGAAGCTGAATCCGAATGGAAAGAATCCAAAAGGGCACATCCCGAATGCATAGCCCAGGATCGCGCTCGGTTAGAGCAAATGGCAGTACTCGCCGAGCCTTTGGGTCAGGAGAGCTGTGTGACCATTTGTGTTCTCGGGTAGTGTTTGTAGAGCTCCCTACCTGTCTCTCCGTCTGTCTGTATTTGCCGGCCTGTCTCTCTCTCTCTCTCTCGCTCTCTCAGTTTCTCTCCCTCTCTCTCTGATATGCTCTCTCTCGCTCTCTCTTTCTCTCTCTTTCCCTCCCTCCCCTTCTCTCCATCTCTCGCTCTCTCTCTTTCTGTCCCCTTCTCCTGTGCTACTTCTACATTCTACACCTTTCAGGATGAAGCTGGGGCGGTGATGTCCTTCCTGGTCATGCCCTCAGCCTTTTCGAGTGATCCAGTCCCATCGCACATGGCCCCCTGGTCGTGTAACTCTTGCTCCTTAAGACGATCGAAGCCAACCCGAATTCCCCCACCCCCCCCCCCAAAACCCTCCTTTGACCAGCCTTCCCAGGGCGCCACACTGCCGGGGCTCTTCTCACAGCATGCGCCCAGGTTGCACCTGGAGGGAAGCACTGGCCCGAAATGGTTTGAAGAAGCTGCTCCAGTGGAAACTAGGATCCAGAGTAGGCCTTATTCCCAAGGACTCGTGTGTGTCTGTGTGTCTAGGAAAGCTTGGAGAGTAGACAAATATGCGTCGTCATGGTTGACCCTTCCGGGGAGATCGGCCTGAAGCCCAGGCATTCTCGCACCCGCATGCGGACGAGATTGCAAGGGCTTAGGGAAGTTTAAGATAGTTTAAGAAGGTTAGGATTTGGGAGTTGCAGGACCAAAGTTTAGAGTTGAAGGCTTGTCGGGGAGCCATTGCACCACCAGCGCAGTCAACACACGAGCCGGTTGAATCGAGGCGCTCAGCCAACGAGCTTTGTTGCAGCTCCTAGAGTCCTTACACCCTCGGCCACGTGGCTGTTATTGTTCTGTGTCTCTTTCTTGTCGGGCTTGGCTTGACTTCAGAGTTTGGTGTCGCTTGTTCAGGGCTGGGTGCGGCCAGGAAAAAGGGACCGGCAACATATTTTGTATTTGGCATTCGTGGAACTGCCGTAGGCAGTCTCGTGACTCTCACATGAGTTGAGTGTGCGTGCTGTCCGCTGCAATCGAGGACGTAAAGCCAAGGCCCCCCTCCCCTTTTAGATCCAGGACGAGCCAATCAGAACTTCATCAAGACTTAATATGGTTCAGCAAACTGGCCGAGGCAGATCCCAAAGCGAACGCAGCTCTACCAAAAAGGCAAAGAGACGGATGTCGTCACGTTGGTTCTTCAAGGTGCGCTTCACAGGGCAATCCAGATTCGGCCGCAAAAGATAGCAGGCGATCTCTCATGCCACTTCTGCACTGGACCTGATGCTTCCTGATTGTGCTTGACGAACCATTCGCAAGGTGCGCTGCACCTCACCAGCGGCCTCGACGACTGCGAGAGCTCTGCCGGGCCGTGGGCAGTGCCCTGTATGAGGTCTATTGATTTTTTTTAAGGCTGGGTTGATACGGTTTGTTGGATCACATGGGAACGTTTATTGTTCCTCTTGAACACTAGATGACCGCTGAAGCACTACATATTTTGTACTGTATGCTGTATATAATATTTACTCTAATATATATATATATATAATATGTATTACACTATTTATCATATAAGCACATCTTACGTATATATATATATATATGTGTATATCTACACATACATAGATGTAGTAGGGTTAGGAGTTTGGCTAGCCTCCAAGGTGCTGGGCATCGGGCAGCTGCAGCCCAAGGCTCCAGACCCGCTGCTGTGCCGGGTTTACGGGGCTTGGGCTTCGTTGGAATACTTGGGTCAACGCATTCAAAATGCCTCTCCAAGGCTTGAGTTGAGTTGAGCTCCCCCGGATTCTCAACATAAGCCCGAAGCTTTAGAGCCTGAACCTGATACGATGTGCTGCGTGGCAGCGTTGGATGTGACATTCTGATCCCTTACCCAAGGTATGTCTCGGATTTCAGCGCCATCGCCGTCACGGACTCCTTTGTCCTGGAGATCCACCGGCACAGCTACCTCAAAGTGGCAGCGCGCGGCGCTAAGCTCTCCCCTGGTGCAGCATAGCACAGGGACTTGGAGTTTGCCTTCGAGTCCCCTTGCAGCTCCCGACAACGGTCCCTCAACTCAACTTGAGGACCTGCTTGGGGGCTTTGAGCAGCGCCAAGGTCCCACCGCACAAGCCATGTGGACGCCTTGGCATGAGAGGCCGGGCCGAAGCATGATAGTATGCAATGTGTATAGGTATATTTAATCTTAACATTCTGTCTGTGCTTATATCTACACATATATATATATATGTACATATATATATATATGTACATGTATGTATGTATGTATGTATGTATGTATGTATGTATGTATGTATGTATGTATGTATGTATGTATATATGTATATATGTATATATATATATATATTACTTCAGAAGTCATTTATCTTATACGCACATAGATGTACATACCTATGCGAATCGACAGCATGTGTTTGACCCCTAAGGCCCGAGCTTCAAACACTTGTTCTGCTGATTTTTGCTGCACACAGACCAACACCAGTTGCAAGCCCCACAATGGCAAGGAGGGTTTCAGCACCCAAGCCCGGAATCTCCGAAGAAAATGAGTCTAAACTCGTCGGGTGACCAGGCAGCGCTGGGTTCACGGACGCGGTGCCCTGCACTTCAACTCGAAGTCTCCTGCACAGCCGCGCTCGAACGCAATCCGCGTAGGTCCGTAGGTATCACTAACTGGGAGGATCGCAGTTCAGGCCTTTGATGCATACGGGGCTTTGGGGGGGGGGGGGGGGGGACAATGGGGGACTGTAAGGAAGGCATGAGCCAATGAGATTCCAAGAAAGTTTTGTTTCAATTGAGCCGACCACCAAGAAGCGTAGTCTTTGGTTGAGAACAGATTCCATAGTAAACGTCGTCAAGAAATCCAAAGCACCTTGCCGATCCATGCAGTGTAGCAGCCTTCCGGAAACACAGACTTCTCTCCAGAGAACGTGAATTGCTGGCCCCGGGACTCCAGGTACCTCGGGCTTGGGGCCTAGGGCTAAGGGATGTAGGATCCTCCTGATCTCGCACATTGTAGAATTTGGAGATTCGGATTCCCAGTTGATAGTACCATGAGTTTCGAGCCCGGTAGCCGAATTCGTGTAAATGTTTTTCCCGGCTCCTCTCGCGGCCCACAGAGGGAAGCGGAACATTTTTAGTTCTGGTTGCAGTACTCAGGAGCATGTAAAGTCTGAGCACTCCGACCGGATGATGTGGACAGTTTGCTTGCATTCCCTCTGAAATCGGACGGATCACCCCTCGAAAGCATAGATTCTATACGGGGCATGATGCGAGAGCTCTTGCCGTCCAGCTGACATCCGCACGCCCCGCTGACGCACAGAGCTGGACGCATTCGGTTGAAGGCACCTGCTGTTGGATCACGAGAGATCAAGCCTAGCAGGATCTTGCTAGTTGCTCCAAGCAAGGCGCTCTGCGATGTTGGTGTGCATTTCTGCCACATGGGCAGGCTCAATCCTGTGAGCACCTTGACGGCAAACTGTGAAGCAGAGGCTTCCGCCAACTCTTCCGCCGTCTAATCATTCTTAGAGCTGCAGCTGCCGCTGCAGCTACAACTACCATTAAGACAGTCAGCGGGATAAGTATCAAGGTCTGGTCTGAATGTCCATCGTTTTGCCCTTCATGTAAAGGTAGGATTTGGGTTTCTGGAACGGGGTGGACTGCAAACATCCATACTGGTTGTAGGCCCCAAAGCGCAAAGCACGAAAGTCTTCGGTGGGTGGGTGGGTGGGTGGGTGGGGTATTTAAAATCCACCCGTCTTTGGAAATACCTGCAATCTGCGGTGTCAAAAGTGCGCAGGCTTTGTTTGATGTTTCTGTTGTTGCCCTCAGCCTTGTCTTAGAAGCAACCTCCCAATGGCTTTGCTTCGTGCTACCCTGACTTCTCAACCGTGATTGCTGTTGGACAGGCTTCAAGCGCGACTGAACACAGATCACTGTCTGCCTCCACGCTCATGGTGTCCAGCAGTCCAGCAGTCATTAGACGCCGCTTTTGCCACCTTCCTTTTTGGCACAGCATGTCATGGCAATGCCAGCGGCATAGACAAGAGACTTGGCTGTATCATCAGCCCCACTGCATCACCAATCGCTCGGGACTGCCGCTAGTGGCAACATGGTTAAGACCTGCAGTGCATTCCATAGATCCCCGTAGGAGTGCCGTCGCTGTGGTGAAAGGTCTTCGGCGCACACGCCCGCCCTTAATAATGCTCCACGTCCGTGACGCAATCGGGGCAACCATCACTCTTAAACTCAAAGTACATGTGCAATCCACCTCCACTGAAGTTCAGTGCTTCAGACAGAGGACGCCACATGGGTTCCTCTGGCTGCGTCCAGGAAGTGGGCTTGCCGATGGCTGGAGGTGTCCTGTAGAAGCATGATCTGAACTGAACTGAACTGATTTGGGCTGGAATGATGGTTCGGGCTTCAGGCCTTCAAAGACTGTAGACGCTTTTATGCAGTGAGAAGGCCCCAAAACCTGGAGCCGCCGAACTCGAAGTCCCTCTGAAGCTGTGAAGTTATACTTGAAATCACAATTTCGTATCCTGACCCCCGACTCGGTGAAGCTCCACTGGCCCTTGGTTTGGCCAAACTTCACTGTGCTGTATAGCACTCGTGCTGTCCCACCCTTGTGGTCAAGGTCCTCCATTGATGCTTGTGACAGGAGCTCGTATGGCTTGTCTAGTCAGTGAATCTGACGTCCACTGCGCGGTTTTTGTGTGAACCTCAAACTTTGTTGTGAGACCCCAGGCAAACAAGCAAATCCACACCATGAAGACGCCCCGGCTCTTCACCAAACATTCCCCTCAGGCGCCTTCAAGTACCAGGTCGCAGTGGCTGCCAGCCCCGCAGACGGTGGAGGGGTCTATGCCATCCCCTTCGCGCAGACGTGCGGACATGTGGCCGCTGGGACAACCGAAACAATCAAAAAACATCGTATTGTATTTCGCTTGCCTGACCATGCTCAGACTTTGCATCCCAAGTGTTCAGAAATTTGGGGTTCCGAGGCCCAGTGAAGCTTTCCCAGCTGCAGGTCTATGTTGACCCCTCCGGCCGAAAAGAGCAGATCGGGGAGGAGAGGGACGCCGGAGTGAAAGCTGCATTGAGACGGGTCAGGGAAGGCAGAGTTGCGCAAGATGACTTCCAGCAATCGCACAAGACACAGTGCCCATGGAAAGGTTCCTTGCCGCACTTAAGAGCAATTACCGTACTCGTTCGTAAAGCAATGGAGTTGCACGAAGCTTGTGCTTCTTCGCCTGACCCACACGCTTGCCAAAAATGTTGCAAACCCGACGCTGCAACACAACACACAACGCCAACAAACAGTGTCACCTTCAAGCAACAGGCTTCTTGAATGTCCCTGTGGCCATGGGCCATCTTACCCTGAATGCCGAATGCACAAGAAGTTGCACCGCCAGGAGTTGCCGATGGGACAAGCCCGATATGTGGCAGCGGTGTTGCTCGGCTCGCTACATTCGAAAAGGCTGTTTAGCTGGAATCGCAAAAACCCAAGCGATGTTCCTTCCGCTCTTAGCGCCAAGGAATGCCCAGAACAAGATCTTCGCAGTCCCCTGCCACGCACGGAAGGCGTTGGAGGCAGGGGTCTTGTCAAGGGCTCGAGGGGGTGCAGGACTCTACAGGAATGAGCGCGTCGCAGAGACAAATTGGAGAGACTAATTTGTCAGAGCGATTCTTATCAGGAAATTAAATTAATTAGCCGTGTCAAAAATACGTCAGGTGCTGGTTCCACAGTCACAGCGGCGGCGTGTCTTTCATGGGCTGAAATGCCTTTTTGCTGAAAGGTCGACCCGAAGACCAAAAGCGTGCGGGAGTTTGGGCAGGAGTTCCCCTATGGCGGCCTGAAGTACCAGGCAATCACGACATGACGCGACGTGAGGGCCTATTCCATTTGGTTTTGTTTTAGGGTTTAGGGAGGTGTGTGGGTTTTGGGTTTCGTTTTTAGCGGAACACTCAACATGCACCATTCCGAACTTGTTTCCCAGTGCCGACAAGGCTGCTGTTTGTGGCCTCGATGGCTGTGCCCATGGCTGTGAATTAACATTGGGATTTTGCGACTTATACTTAAAGTCTGGGTGCATGCATATGCCCAATGGGGGAAATTTTCTCAGCTTGCTTTTCAATTTTGTGGATGTGAGGAGTCATTGTGGGAAGAGAGAGCTATCGTGGACACACGTGCCCTCCCATCCCCCGCGCCCACTCACTACTTCGGCTTCCTTGACAAGAGCCCCCAGCCGCCATCTGAGCCAATCCAAGGCGTCTACGGCATCCCTTTCAACGCAGAGCGCTTCCTCAAGCTCGACCCAATGAAGGGCACCAGCCTTGAGGTGCTGAAGTTTGCTCTAACGTTAAGGGAAGAGCCACGATCAGCCAACCAATGAGCCAAAACCGCCTCACCTCAACCTGTCAAGCTCTCGAGAGTACGCGTGATGGCGTTGAGTACAAAGAGGGTACTGGCACTGCCAGTCGCTGCATCCACACGTCTTCTTCCCCTTGCACTGCCTACGCGGTCTTGCGGTATGAACGGATCTGCAGTTTGTTCTGTACTTTTTCTGAGGCAAGTGAGCAGGTGCAGAATATCAGCAACCCCTGCTACCCCCAGCGAGAGTGCTTGACCGGAGCCCTGTGTCAGGTGGGTGATGCACTGCCCAGTGGCGGCTTCAAGTACATGACCGCAGTAGTCGCTCCAAGCGGATGCACGGCGCAAGTGTTGAATTCGGAGCGGTACGCTGGGACTGACCTGTTCATGTTGCAGGGCTTGATCACGAGGATGTCTTGTCATGCCGTGTGGCCTCCTTGTTTGTGCTCCTGCATTCATGTGCTGCTAGGTGCATGAGGCAAGCATGCAGTGCTCAACTATATGCGGATGACCTGATGACTTTATGCTCTTTCAAGTTTGTAGACCCTGATATGCTGTGAGGGTGACCTCTTCATTTCGATGGAAAAAGAGATCAGAGGCTCCATAAACTTGTTGGCATTTCTCATCGAATCACGAGCATGATGAGTACTTCAGCAACGTGACACCAAGCTATCGTATGCTGAATGTGTCCTTACATTTCCTGCAAGCGTTCAAACTGCACGCGCCGCTTTTTCCATGTGCGTATACTGGCCTGCAACTCCACGTGGCCCAGGAAGGATCTATGTGCCTCCCTTCGATGCCCAGCAGGCAGAATGGTGTGACGTCTGTCCATGCCGGGTGGGGGAGGGGGGAAAGGGGGCGACGGACGAGAGAGAACTATTGTCGGATCTACGGGAGGGAGTTGTGCGTGTGCAGTTGGCATAAGTCACCTGGTGCTTCGTAGAACATGCAGAGAGAACCAAAATGGAATCCAAGCAGACGGGAGGCTTTGGAGTTCGACCCCACCACGGCTGTTTGGCGCCCCTTGGGACCTTCCTTCTCGGAAGGAGGGCAGCCTCTCAGCGGAGATTAATCGCTTTCCCCTTGTGCTGGGAACATCCTCCAAAGTAGTGACCTCATAGGTAAGATCTCATATACCTTTCTTTTACAGTCTTATGCTTGTGTACGTGAAGCCCTTGCTTGTCATATCAGTTTTGGGGAGGGATTATGGTGGCACCTTAGGGCCACAACTGGACAGGGGTCGAGGGAACTACATGCACTCCAGCTGCTTTTCGGTAAACCTCCTGAATGCCCCAGCCGGTAGCATGAGAACCAACCCCAGCTCCGATATCAAGGAGATATGTGGCAGCTGTCCTGGCCAGTAATGGAAGCTGGGCGTTTCGAATGTTTGTTTTTCTGTGGCACAGGACTCTAGGCAGTTCGCAAGGTCCCACGAACATTACCTTGTATCTCGGGTTATCTCGGGTCTGTTTGGTCATAAATCGACCCACCTTCTGTGCTCCTTTTCTTGCCATCTCGTCGTTCCCACAGCATGAACAACTCGCGGGCCCTGAGTGTCAAGCCCTGCAAAAGGTTCCAGCTCTGTTTTCGAAGTTCCTTGGGTTCTTGGGTTGATTGATCAAAGCCACTAGCCACTAGCAGCCCTACGGCACTAAGCATAGCATCCTGGCACCCTCTCAAAGCAGGTAAGCCGCTTGACTGGGTTGCCGAAAGCCCTAGCCGAGGAAACATTTATGCTCTCCCGTGCAATGCCGAGCGCCCCCTTGCTGCAAGCAGCTCCGCAAAGAGGGCTCCAGGTGGTTTCCAGCAAGGGCTCACTTACAGAACTTCTGAACAGGCAAGTGAAGCCCTTCGCTGACAGTAGAGTATGAGTAGAGTATGCGCTCATCTGTTGACACCCCAAGCCCAAGTGTGTCACTGAAATCAGGACGGCTGAGCGTCTTGGCCCACGCATTCCGTGCAAAATAAAAGGAGCACCTGAGAAGAGACCCTAATCGTAGAACCCGCATGCGCGCTTTCTGAGCACCATGCAACATCGAGCCTCGAAGTGAACAGTTGCGCGAAACCTAGGTGTTGGGCAAAGAACAGCAACATGCACTCGAGAGTGCGGTTTTTTTCCCCGTTTCCAGTGTTTTGCCGAAGCGGCAGCGTCGTTTTGAAAGAGCTTGCGGGACAACTTGTCGTAAGCTAAAGTTGATGTAGAACTGGACTGCTTTGTCGTGTTTTTGTAGTGCCTCCCTGGTTGACCTGGGCTTGCAGTCGAGACGTCGGGACCCCTCCACCTTTAAAGGGAAGCCGTGAAACCCGAACATGAAGCGGTTGAGTGGGTTTACGAGTCCAAGCTTGGAGGGCTTTGGGCTTCCAGGCTTTTGGGCTTCACCCGAAAACTTCTCCCAGGCATCCTGGAGATCAGCCCACTCCATCGGGATGCACGTGAGGCCTCCTGTCCGGTTCTGAGGGCTTGAGCGGCTTTTTAAACGCGGCATACAGTTTAGGAATGTTTAGGAGTTTAGGAACTTTGGCCATTTGAGGGAGATTGAGTGGTAAAAACTCCAATTCCCTACCATAGGAAGCTGTGGTCCCGAGGCCTATCCTCCCTGGACTTTCTCCCTTGCGAGCCAAAAGCCCTACTTCCCTAAACTTAAACTCTTGAACCTTGCCTAGCCTGAATCCAGGCGGTTCTCCAAACTAGGGTCCCAAGAAACCGAAATCGAAGGGCCCATATGCTAGATTCAAAATGGGTAACTTCGGCAACCAGGTGGGTCCCAGCTTCCCGCGCGGCCTGTTCCGCTTCCAGGCTGCTGTGGCGGCTCCAAACGGCAGGTGAGCACCGTGGTTACAGGATTTTGGATGGTCCTATGGCCTATGGTTGGAGTTTACAGGTTTCAGGGTCAAAGGTTAGTTTCTGGGAGGCTTCGACACAACTCGCTTGATGTGTATACCGGCGTGTTTGTGTGCCGTTCCATGCAGGAGGTGTCACTTCCAGGCTGTGTTCCAGCGCAGCAACATGGGCACGGCATGTTCCTCTGCACGCAGGATTTATGGTATTCCATACGACGCAGCACGCGCCTTGACTAGCATTAGCAGAGAGCGGTTAACCTTTACTTTTCCTTTCGTACACCATCAATCTCATGACACCTCACCTCTGTCTCTAGCCGTCTCTAGGAGTTAACCGCCCGTGTTCACCTTGTTCCTTGTGCATTGGGTCCAGGCTTTGGTTCTCCAGCTGTAACCGTGTAAGACCTTGGAATCATGCCTCAAAGAGCCGGGAATGAGGATAGAAGCATTAAGTGAGCACAGTAGTCTTTATACTGGCCCGTAATACTACTATCTTTCGAAGCTTGCGAGCTGTTGGGAGATTTCCTTCCAGGCGCTTTTGAATTCGACCCCTCGACGGGCTTGGCCCTGGACATCGGTCATGACTTGTCCGGAGGCGGAAGCAGGTGGAGCATCACGGGCGTGACACAAGCACGTGACAAGACAGATCATCTAGGATAGGATCATGCCGTGGACAGCAGGAGAATTCTGTTTGCGGCTGCCGTAGTTTCGAAGGTACTCGGCTGCGGCGATGGCACAGAACGGCCTGATCTATGCTCCCCCCTGTAGCGCTGAATGCGTGTTGGAGATAGACCCCTGGACGCAAGCTGTGCGAGAAGTCGGACCAAAACTTCGTGGGATCGCCGAGGTCGATGAAGGCGTCGTGCAGTACAGGGAGTCCTGACAGGGAGTTGGAAAGGTACCCGATAGGAGTACAGACTGCGCAGAGTTGCACGTCTAGGTGTATGCAAATGTGTAAATGCTTGAGGCTGACCTCCCTCTCAGATCCATCATCTTTACGAACCATTATACTACAAATATTCGAAAAAGGTACGTTACATGTGACCCGACGGCAAGCCATCAACAAAAACCGCTGGTCAGGTGGGGACAAGTACCAAGCCATTGTCAGCCCTGCTCTCAGCGTGTTGTGATGGCACCTGGGTTGGTGCCATTCGCCCCCCCCCCCCCCCCCTCTCCCCCGCCGGGATAAGGCATGCCAAACGGAAACCTTATCGCTGTGCCCTACAATGCCGAACGCATACTCGAGATCGTTCCGCGGCATCTGGACATGCAGCCGCCGCTCGCACTGGCCGGCTGTCTCGATACGATGGACTAGGAAGTTCTCTCTGTGTGTATCTTGAGTTGGCCTGCGAGCATGACATGCGCAGCCAAGACAGGCCTGCAGATCGCCAATCGCTGTCGAGACCTGACCTGGTTCGGGAGGCAGCTATGGGCGGAACAGATGAGCAAAGGCGATGAGTACGCCGCGCTTCGTCGGCATTGCTCACGACGCCAATGTCGCCGGGGCCGTCAAGCACCCTCAGGCCGATTTGGGTGACCTCCGCAGAGATTCGGGCGATCTCAATTTGGTCGCGAACTTGATGCTGGATTTACTTGGCTAGTCAGCGGCTTCTTCAGCCCATGAGGATGAAGACTGACAGGCTCGGGCCACTGAATGCGGGCCGGTATCGCTCAACTTGTTCTTTTTTTTTACAGTCGACAGTACGTTGCAACAGGTGTCTGCTGCAGTCCTCAGGCATCAAGGCCTGGCCACTACAATATTTTTACAATTCTTACAATGCGACGTGGCCCTTCAAGAAGCCCGTCTTCTGCCAAGTCCTACGGCATGGAGGAGAGTTCCCGGAGTCTCTTGCGGAAGGACTCGTGCTCCTGCGACTCAACCATGGTCATCCACTCGGCCCGGAACTCGCACGGGGCTTGCTCCATTTCCTTGCTCGGCATTGCGTCCGCCTTCCTGCGACCAGCGATCCTCGTTAGCAACATGCCTTTGCACTTGTCACTTGTCGTACTGCTCGAAGAACTGTTTAGTTTTATACTTCCAGGAGCTCTCAGAGCTCGTAGTGTGAGGTTCAGAATCTCGTGGCTCCCATTTAGGCGAAGACAGGCTCAGGCCACTGAAAGTGGGCCGGTATCCCATTAGCGTGTTTTTAACGCTCGCAGCGGTATCCCAGAGACCCGGGAACCGGATATGGTGCAGGCACGCCCAGAGACTCGAAAGAGGAATCGGGAACGTCATGCGCAATGAGGTGTTGGCCAGATCTGGCCCGTGCTGCACGTCTCCAGCTGTCGGCATGCCAAATTCGAGACCATTGCAGGCTGAGCCGTTAGAAAGATGTTATCATGATGTTATCTCATTATGTTCTGGATGCTTATGGATGCTTTACACCCGATTCTGCGCTTGGCTTGGCTGAGCTCTGCCATGGCGCGGCTGCTGCGATTGCCGTGCGGCAGTTCGCAGGCCATGTGGTCGATCGAGCATTCGCTCCGGGGTTTGGCTTGTCACATAATTAGCGGAGTGCCAGATGTTGAGGTCGGATCATTGCGGATGTCTACAACATTCTAGAACGCAGACCATGTGCAGCCGAATGCTGACAAGAATTCGCCTCTTAGCCCATCTAACCTTATTCCACACTTGAAGCCCTGAAAGCACCGAGAGGCTTTCTGCGGCCATTTGTGGCGATGCACAGTGCCGTTGCTTGGCCCAAGATTCGGTTGAAAGGCCGGGAAGGCCGGGAAGGCCATCAAAGGTTCTCTGGCTGAGGCCGCGTGCCCCCAGCTCTTGTTCGATATGTTCCGGCAAGCGTTTAAACCTTTTGATTGCTTCTGGAGTGGGTGAGAATCTGACGACTTGCCCCACTTGCTGTGCCCACTTGCCTCGCTGTCACCCCTCCGCCCCAAAGCCCCCACCCCGCACCTGGGGCCGCAGCGAGGGTAAGCTGGGCACAAGTGGGGCAAACGGGGCAGGAAGGCCAAGTGGGCAAGTGGGGGTGACGATTTGCCGTCCTCAGCTGCCGCTCAACCGTTAAAACTCTGAGCTCTAAAGCTTTAAGGTCGTTTCGGCCTTTTGCGTATGGCCTCGGCGCCTCGAGGCCAACCACAGAAAGGCCACTCCCGCATGTTTTAAATTGTTTTGAGGCGGGTCCCATCGGGTTTGATGGAGGGCTTGAAGCACTTGTTGTGGTTTCTCCAGTTTAGTGGGACAAAGAACATTGTCCCAGGATTGTGCCGGTTACCGTCGTTGCCTTCTAAGCCCAAAGACACAGCCGCGCATCGCGTGCCAGGGCAGATGTTAACCTGCCGGCACGTGCTTGGGCGCTGGCCACCCAGGAGGCCTCTTTAAGGGACTTGGGCTCGTGGCATCATAAACTAAGCATGTCGTACATGGGGGGCTCGTCTATTTACCATCAGAGGCTGTTTGAGCATGTATATCAGTGGAGTTGATGAAGCCGCACAGGCTTTCTTGATGTAGACTCGCAGCCTGCAGGCCCGGGAAGAGGGCGATGAGCAGGCGCGATTTCGGTTCTTCAGCAGTGGGATAGCCATGGATACAGCCGATCAAATCGCGCTTTAGTTGAGGGCTTCCCGGCCGCTCTTGCCCTGCCCGCTCGTGCCCCTGAGTCTTGAGACCTTGTTCCCTGAACATCGCCCTTCCCTTGCCGCAGTGCGGGTCCTTGACCTCGGATCAGGCGGCCGAGCAGACATGCTGGGCCGTGTAAACGATAGACGCGAAGTCAACAAGCGCTAAAAATATTGACCGTTGAGCCCTGTTTATGGCTGACTACTACTGGTATCTCCACCCCCCTCTTTTCGTACGCTGTACTACGTTTTGGTATCTATCGCATGGAAGAAACACGCACGAGATTATTTAATAGTGCTGCTGCAACTATTGGTCAGGCTACTTGTAAACCAAACTCGCACGTTTCGAAGGTTTCTTATCAGGGGTCGGACGCCTAGGGTGTCAATGTGCAATCCAACTAAGATATGTTCAAAACATGATCCACAAAAATTGGAAAAGCAATGCTTGTTTTCAAGCATTTGCTACCGAAGGTTTTCAGAACATGAATGCCAATGCGCTCAAACCTCAACAGAATAATGTGTGAGACCGTGGCAGAAAGTTTTCCCAGCAGTTGGTCCAGTAGAATGGTATTGAAGCTGTTGGGCACTTAATTCCGGTCGTTGACTAAGTCCAAGAAAAGTCCTACTTCTTTAGAATTTATCTAACCTGGTTGAGTCTGAGTTTGGACCCAACGCAAATGTTAAAAGGATCGAATAAAGAATATATTGGGATCCCGATTTAGCATTTTAGGCTTTTTGTTTCATTGAAGTTGCTCTTGAACAGCAACATAGGCTCGCAAGAACTTGCTGGTTGTTGAAGTTGTTGTTTAGAAACTGGCCAACAAGAAACAGCAACAGCAACAGCAACAGCAACAGCAACAGCAACAGCAACAGCAACAGCAACAGCAGCAGCAGCAGCAGCAACAGCAGCAACAGACAGCAGCAACAGCAGCAACAGCAGCAGCAGCAGCAGCAGCAGCAGCAGCAGCAGCAGCAGCAGCAGCAGCAGCAGCAGCAGCAGCAGCAGCAGCAGCAGCAGCAGCAGCACCAGCACCAGCAACAGCAACAGCAACAGCAAGCAGCAACAGCAACAGCAACAGCAACAGCAACAGCAACAGCAACAGCAACAGCAACAGCAACAGCAACAGCAACAGCAACAGCAACAGCAACAGCAACAGCAACAGCAACAGCAACAGCAACAGCAACAGCAACAGCAACAGCAACAGCAACAGCAACAGCAACAGCAACAGCAACAGCAACAGCAACAGCAACAGCAACAGCAACAGCAACAGCAACAGCAACAGCAACAGCAACAGCAACAGCAACAGCAACAGCAACAGCAACAGCAACAGCAACAGCAACAGCAACAGCAACAGCAACAAGCACAAGAGCACGAAGAAGAAGAATAAGCAGAAGAAGAAGAAAAAACAAGGAGAGTAACACGAGGAATAACACGAGGAAAGTACGAGGAAGAACAAGAGGAACAAAAATAATAAAAACAAGAAGAATGAAAAGAATATCAACAAGAAGAAGAACAAGCAGAATCACAACGACAATAACAAGAAGAAGAAGAACAAAAACGAGACTAACAAGAACAAGAGGCAGGACAAGAAGAAGAAGAAGAAGAAGAAAAAGAAGAAGAAGAAGAAGAAGAAGAAGAAGAAGAAGAAGAAGAATAAGAAGAAGAAGAAGAAGAACAGCAAGAGCAATCACAATAGCAGTCATAATAACAAGCAGAAGAAGATGCACAAGAATAACAACATGAAGAGCAACAAAAATCACTGCACGAAGAACAGCAAGAAGAACACCAATAATCACAGGGATCATAACAACAACAACAACAACAACAACAACAGCAACAGCAACAGCAACAGCAACAGCAACAGCAACAGCAACAGCAACAGCAACAGCAACAGCAACAGCAACAGCAACAGCAACAGCAACAGCAACAGCAACAGCAACAAGAACAACAACGACAACAAGAAGAGCAACATGATGAACAGGAAGATCAACAAGAATAACAAGAAGAGCAACAAGAATAACACAATCAGCAATAACAACAATAACAACCATAGCAACAAGAACAGCAGCTCCTCCTCCTCCTCCTCATCATCATCCTCATCATCCTCATCATCCTCATCATCATCATCATCATCATCATGAGCGACGACGACGACGACGAAGGGCTGGCTAGAACAAGCTAGAGCTGAAGTAAGCCACGTCATTAAGCCAAAACGAAAAAGCAGTCGTGCTTAAAGTTGTGGTTTCATACACGCGAAGTGGCACTTACAGGTTCATAGCGTTGAAAGAAATCAGCAAAGCAATCTATGAGGCACCCTTTGTTTTCCGTACCCTTTGAATTGCTTCACCCAAACCCCCCGAGCCCGCCCTAGGAACACGGAAGCCACCGCCCTGAAAAAAAAAAGAAACCACAACTCCAAACCCTGACCCCGGTAAACCCGAAGTCCTTGAGCCCACAGGCCTGGCTGGACTTCGAGGACCGGGCGCTTGAGCGATGCGGCCATTGGCGAGGCCCCGAGATGGTCCAGGCCGTTTTTTTTTTTTTTGGGGGGGGGGGGTTTGTTTGCTTACACGGGTTCTTAGCAGGGATTGGGGTTTGTAGGGTCTATAGAGTTTACAGATTTTGTAAGGTTTGTAGGGTTTATTTGGTTTTTATAGGGTTTTGAGAATTCGGGAATCAGGTACCTTGTGTACTACCTTAGCAGGGACTTGGGAGATTTCGCCTCGTGGACGCGATCGAGGGAGCAGCAGTTCGAGAATATTTCGGCCTCCGAAGTTGAGGGTAGCATGGGTAGAATCATGGAAAGGAGTGCTACAGAAATACTATGGCATGCTGTGGCACGGTATCTTATAAGGGGGGAACCAGCCTCCCAAGGTGTACCACCCGTGCGAAGTGTACTTGTTAGGATGGGAGGTTTGAAGCTGTGTTCAAAAGTGGGTTGTGTGGGTTCTGATAGGGGCGTGTGCAATGCGAGAGTGTGTCAGGCCATCTAGAATCGTTCATCTTCCGAGCCCTCCAAATCGGTATATACATATATATATATATTATTATCATTACTATGATGAGTATTTGTTTTTGGAAGGGGGAGGGGGGGGGGGGTTGAGCTGACGCTTCGACAGTTTGGTAGGGAGGATCCCGGAGCGGGACAGAGAGATTCGACACGCCCTCGTGTTCTTGTCAGTTCAACATGACATGTGTTTCGGGGTCTATTCGAGTCATTCAGGCTCATGTCATCTCACGAGGTGCTGCATGCCTGCGCCGTGGCGCAGCGGCGGCCGAAACGTTTGCTGGCCAAGTTGGCGAAGGCCTCTCTGGCGTTGGGCTTCTCGCGTGGGTCTTTTGGGGGCCGGGGCTTCAAGCTGCGAGCCTGGGGGGAGGGGGGGGGCCAGTTCGTGTTGGGAATGTGCAGATTCCTTTTTCGGATCCTGAGCTTCTCCAGGACATCCCGGACAAGCTGCCGCAGTTCGATGCCTCTGCGCTCTGTGTCCTGTCAAGATTTATTCAGGCACTTCGCAGGATTGAGTTGGGGTGGAGCCATGTGAGGAGATCCGGGGTCACATGCAACAGTATCCCTTGACCTCAAACCCTGAACTTGCCCGAAACCGGAAACTGTGCTCAGGTGTTTGTCTGCACACCTTTGCCCAGCTGCGTTCGCGTGATGCTTCCTTGTTCTCGGTGGTGACGCGGCGTCTGCTGCATCCAGATCGCAAAGAAGAAGCTTCACGGCATTTGTACAACGCCGAAGAAAGCCTTACACTTTCCAAGACCGATTGCCAATAAGCTTTCTAAGCAGCAGAAGCCAAGGAGCTGAGCCCATCTCATGTCTCCTCCCTGCTCTACTCGCACGCGCGGATCCTGCAGTTTGACAAAGAGCTTGTGAGGTCGGGCCCGTTTTTCTCACTTCACCTTCCCATGCACTGAGTGGACACAGGCTTGCGAAGAAGAGCTTGGCGGACGAGCGGTTTGCCTTCGAAATGGAGGAGCATGTCGGATGCAAGGAATGCGTATGAAAGTGTTTTCAGACTGGCTTCAGCATGCTTCAGCTGGTTTTCAGGACATGGCGACAGTGCTCCAAGCTTTTGCAACCCTGCGCCTGGGGCACAGACTTCCGAGCTGTTTCTTTAATCTTGCGGAGACTCGAGCCTCTCAGCCTTGCCCCTAGGCCCTAGGCTTGCAGCCTCCATTGCAGGTGCCGAGGATCTCCGGCTCTCGGGCCGCAGCGCCCGGCGCGTGGCAGAGGCAGCCCCCGCTGCGCCTTTGCCGCTGCTCGCGGACCTGCTTGAGGCACCTTAGGAGGGCATGCTTATGTCTGGGTGAGTTGAACCTCGGTTTTGCAAAGGGGTTGGGAGCTAGCCCACAGGAATCAGAGAAGGTGCCGGGTAAGTGCAAGAGTGCAACAGTGCAAGTGGTGATGCTTGTCAGGGTTAGGTTAGGCTGCGTTTCATGACCATCATCCTTCGAAGTTGAGCTCTTTTCGCAGCGCGTCTGGGAGTATCATGCTGCTACGATGCATGTTGCATGTTGTGCAATGTTGTGTGCGCTTCTTTCAGAAAGTTGCAGGGACGAGAGGAACTGGTCGAAGCCCTACAAGCAGAATCTTCGAAAGAATGTTCGACAGGTTTTCAAAACAAGGAACCGTCCATCTTCTCAGTATCACCATCCATCAACTCGAGCCCGTCTTGCAGCACACGAAGCCGAGCCCTAGACCCCTCTTCCCATGTCTTTGCGGCACCATGGAGTCGCCAAGCAGCAAGATGTCGCCCGGAGCCTGGATGTGTGCAGAATGTGCGTGTAGAGGTTCGCTCACACAAACCACAAGGCAAGCTTTTCCTTCGGCTCGTCTCGAAGTTATCGCAGCTCAGGTCGCTGGTGGCCGGTACCCTCACTGGGTTCCTGGTGATCTTCCGTGACGTCAGTACCTGCCCTGGCAACAGTCATACAGTAACTTGCAATCCATGAGCCTCAAAAGTCCGAAGTGACCCAAACACGAGCAAGAAGGCTTTGCCTTGGTCTACTGCGCGCCCCACGCGCTGCGGCACCAGCAGGCGGTGTGTGTTTGCGGATGAGGCAGTCTAGGAAGCTGGGGAAGTTTATAAGATTCAGGTGTGTTCAGGGTCTTCTTGCTTTGCTTGGCAGCCTTGCAGGGCCAGTTATGTCTTTGGTGGCTTCAGGATTGCCCCCCCCCCCCCCCCCTTCCCCATGGCCAGAGACACCCACAACGCGCCGACGCCCTTTATCGCGCATGCTTTGAAGCCCTCGCACACAGTGGCAGAAGTGTGGCGAGCATAGGCATAGTCTTGGACGACTTGCAGTCCCATGGCGACACACGAAATTCGAGCAGGCTGCAGTTCCTAAGTTTCTGGCAAGATCGGTGCAACCGGACCTGGCACGAAAATCACTTGATACGTGTAGCCGCGCAGGCAGTCTGGAATGGCTCTGTGTCGGGGTCATTTGCTGCCTAGACGGCCTGATGCCCGAATCGCGCTTTGGGGTTGACGCTGAAAATCTCCACCCCTCTTCCTCAGCTTGCAATGGCCGCCTCTTAAAACTTATGACCGGGCGTGAACCAGCGGAATCACATCGTCTACAAAGTCCGATGCGCTTGGTTGCTCCAAAGCTGCTGGAGCCAGCCCTGGATGTAGGAGGTGGAAGTCTTCTTCATCGTCCGGAAGTATTCGATCAAGCCAACTGGTCACCACTGATCGCTGTGATGGCATGTGATGGCATTTGCCCCATTCGCGCTTTTTGACTGCTTGTTCATGGCGACACTGCTTGTCGTCGCCTATGTAAAGGTTACCACCGCATCCTGTAGCAGTGGCACTTAGTTGCTGCACGAAGGCAGTCGAGACGAGTCGAGACTGGTACTAAACCAGCTCGAATGTTTTCAGCCGGACAAAGCTTCGTAAAACCCCATAGACCCTAAGAGCCCTGAAGCCCATACGCTCTAACCCTGACTCCATGAACACAAATTGTTTTGACAAAACTCAAACCACCTCAAATGGACGCAGCTTTCTTCAAGCAGTCACAGCGAATCCAAGCTTTCGTTCATGGAGCTCTATGGGGATAGACCGCCTAAGTGGCTGTTGCCGAAGCCTATACCTGCAGGTTCTGAGGCTTTTCATGCAAGGTCCAAAAATATCGATGACCTTGGATCCGAAAGCTGCACATGACTTGCATGTTGCAGAACGAATCTCAGTGATAGGCAAGTCTCGAGTGGAAGACCTCCACAGCATAACAAACATCCTCAATGTCCCGACCTGATCGAACAATGAACAGGCCCGAACCCTTCAAGTCCAACCAACCCATGCCTAACATCGTCTTCTGTGGCTGGAAATTGACCAACTCCCTACGAAGGGACATGAAGTAGCCAACATGTTCATCGTTTTGACAGGCGGTTCGGCTTGGGCTCCTGGGTAACTACCCGTTCTAGAGATGTTTAGGGCTCAGGGTCGTACCCCATGATGGCAAGCTTGTTTTCAGGATTCGGGTTCGCGCCGTGTCGCTTACCAGGCGGTGGTCACAGCATCGCTGCTGCTTTCGTCGGCCGTCGCCCAATGCGTTTCTGGGCTGATATTTCGCACCAGCAGCTTGCAACCCAACTGTTGGCGATCAAGGTGTATTCCTGGCGGCACAGCTTTCCCACAGTCGTGGCCTGCGCTTCGTCGCTGGCTGTTCCGTTTCAGAGTGCCGGCTTTGCACGTGGCCATACCTTTGGGGTGAAGGATGCGGGTCGTCCACATCAGGATACATCATATCTCCAGCTAGTGCTGCAGTGTGTTACCAGTCTAGCCCTCAATTTACAGGTGCTATGGCTGCGTCGATTGCGAGCAAGCTGGGCAACGAGTCCGAGTCAGTGTTGGCGACGGTCGCTTGGCAATGTGGGTGAAGCGTCTCCCAGACTCTAGAAACTAACTAGCATGGAACCAGCCGGGCCAGCCTCAGCAAATGCTTAGTTGTGAGGGCTGTTGCGGGCGATCATGCACTGACGCGACAAGTCCTGTACTTCGTTCCACCAGGCTCCACGCATGGCAAGGTTAGCCATGGAGGGCTGGTCCTTCCACAATGGAACCACTCCGTCTGCGCAACCATGAATTGCGAACCCCGGCCAGAAGCTGTCCCCTCCCGAGCCCCCTTTCGCCTGCGAGGTCCTCTGCAGCTTCTCGCTCACCGCCTTGGCCTATGGGCTCCTCATCTTCCTCCTCTCCTTCGTGCCCATCCTGGACCTTCGGGTTCGAGAGTACGTTTTAGCACCGTCAATTGAGAGGTAGCAGACTAATGCGCTAACTAAGTAAGCAAGAATCGCAATGCGTCATCAATATCTACTCTATGTACATATGTACAATTTAGCCCCCTTACGCGGTTATCCTGGGCGATGCTGATGCTTCCCTTGTTGTACTGCAAGTGCAGTGCCGGTGCTGAGTATGTGTCCGTATATACCTGCCGCTCTTTCATGATAAGTGCGCATGCAGCTGTAGTAGTAGCCTCCACAAAAGTCCGCGCAACAGGCGCGGATGTAAGAACCTCCAGCGCTGTTCGCGAAAGCCTCAGAAGCCTGAGCCGTGAAGTTCTGTACGTATTGGACCCTCTGAAGAGCCGACAGGACCATCTCAAGGGCGCATTCCCGCAGCCAGTCATGTGTGCCTTCTTCTTGGTTGCAGGTGGGAAGGGAGCGAGGTGGGAAGGGAGCGAGTGCGGAAGCTGAAAGCTGCCAAAGCTGCCATCCCTTCAGTAGCCGAGCTAGCCTCTCCTGCCACACCTCTCCTTAAGTGTTCCTTGAGCTTGCTGGGATGCCAGGCATCGGCATGCTTCAGGGCGCCCTGGAGCTTGTAAGCGGGCAGCCTCTGCCCGGCACCCAAGAGGGGCCTGTGGGGCTTCGAGGCTTCGAGGCTTACGGAGGAGTGGGGTAGAAACATGATCCCCATCAGTCCTAGCACGCCCTCTTTGATCAGGTTTGGCAGCCATGACCTCGAGGCCCGGCGATGTTTCAGGCAATGCTGTGCTCAGAAGAAACATCTGACACCTGCGCCAGCGCCACGCGTGGCCAGGCAACTGCCTACGCCCAAATGGCTCTGACGGTGCTTGTGGGCGCCGCTAACCGTGCGGGCTCGAAGTGGCTGCAAGCCGGTTGCACGTTTAGGCATCCTTGCCGATTAGTAGAGAGTGCCGAGACCCGAGCGGAAGAAGATAGCACCAGGGCAGGTGGGTGGAGGGGTCACACAAAAGCACATAGAGCCGAAACAGAATAACGGTTCTTAGGCGGCACTTCGCCGTGCTGCCCGCCAGCCTTTGTCTTCAGCTGCTTGGCTCACGAATTGCTTTGGATGCCATTTCGTTGCAAGCAGGTTCAGATTCATGAACTCCGACGATGAAGCACAAGTGAGCTTGTGAACGCGACCCTTCGCAAGCTAGACGAGGGTTGATGATGCCCTGGACCCCGCAACGCCCAGAATCTCCCCCAAGGTCTGTATTGCCTTGATTTTTTACTAAGTGTGAAATCAGTGGAGGCTTCCTCCCTGGCCATATCACCCGCGGTCCTGAAATCAGTGGAGGCTTCCTCCCTGGCCATATCACCCGCGGTCTTTCTTTTTCGGCCCACAGAGGGCCCTCTTGATCCTTAAGCTACTGACTTTGCAGTGTGCGTAAAATTGAGTCCGAGCCATAGATTCGAAGTGGGCGCTGTCAGTTGGCAGCGGAGCCTGCGTGGCTCTTGGCGGCGTGTGTGGCGTCGCAGCCGGCGGTCCCAGGGGCCTGCTGTTTCCCTCCTCGCCTTCTAACCGATCAGCCGCGGGAAGGTGGTGACGTATCTGATCGAGCCCAGCCACGTCGACATCTACAAGAGCGAGTGAGTGAAGATGCCATCTACTTCGGAAGGACAGTCCTCAGGCGATCCTGGAGGATATGTCTACCGAGATAGAGATCCCCCACCTTCTTGGAACGGTTCCACTCCAGAGGTCTCTTTCAAGACCTGGCTTCGAGATCTTGAGCTGTGGGAGGCCACGACGGATATTCCCAAGGAGAAGAGGGCGATCAAGCTGGTTCAAGCTCTCACAGGGCCAGCAAGGGAGGCGGTGTCGTCTTTGACGCTGGCCGAGCTCCAGCATGCGGACGGCTACAAGACGGTGATGAAAGTGCTCAACGACAACTTTAAGCCGTATGTGGAGACAGCGTTGCCGAGGGCCATGGAGGGCGTGTTCTATGGCCAGGCTAGAGGTGCCAAGGAGTCCATCCCGGATTACCTGGTGCGCGCGTCGCATGCCTTGGCGGAGCTCAAAGCCGAGGGCGTGGACCTTCCGGCGAAGGCTGCCGGATACTTGCTGTTCCGGCAGGCGAACTTGGACAAAGAGCTGGAGTCCCGTGTGGTCACGTGGTTGGCTGGCGACTACACCAAGGATGTGGTGATCGCCAACCTAAGGCGACTTGACCGCATCAACTCGAGCAGCTCCGGGTCCAAGGCGATGCTCTGGACGGAGACTGAAGAGGGCGAAGGCCAGGAGGTGTACTACGAGAACCACGAGCACTATGGCGAGCCCGAGTTCTACCTGGAGGCGGAAGACGAAGAAGACGAGAACTACGTGTACCTAGAAGACGGCGAGCTGGACGCGGTGTACGAGGAAGGCGATGTCATGGAAGCTCTGGCGTCGTACCAACATGTTCGGCAGCAGCTCAAAGAACAGCAAAAGGGCCGGCAGTACTACCAGCCGAACCTTGGCAAGAAAGGGGGCAAGAAGCTCTTCAACAAGGACGGCAAGAACACCGGCAAGCAGAGCAGCAAGTCCTTCGGCAAAGGCGGCTCGGCATGGAAGGGGTCGCCTACGTCACGAAGAGTGCACATAGAGCAGCTCAAGCTTAGGACTCGATGCCGGGCTTGCGGAGAAGTCGGGCATTGGAGCAAGGAGTGTAGGCACCGAGCGGGGCCATCGCTGACTACCTCTTCGTCATCGTCGGGCCCGGGAGCAAGCCGAGGGTCCTTCTACTGGGCCGGCCGAATGGATGCCGGGTCTGGTGGAGCGAACACCTTCTTGTCCTTCGGCCAGTTCCTCAACGACAGGCCGGGCGAGTCGATGGCGGGCGAGCTCTTCGTGGGAGTGACTACGCAGGGATGCCACGGCCTGGTGGACACTGCGGCTCAGGAAGGCCTGGTGGGTCGTCCGGCCCTTCTTCGTTTGCTGGACCTTTTGAGGCCCCTAGGCCTAAAAGGCTGCTGGACGGACAAGGCCACCCAGGCACGCGGCATTGGAGGCGCAGCAAAAACAGTCGGCGTGTGCGAAGTTCCCATCGGCCTCGGTGGAGTTCCAGGAGTACTTGAGCTGACAGTCGTAGCCGAAGACGTGCCATTGCTGTTGCCGGTTAGTCTCTTGAGGGCCTTGGGTTCAGTCATTGACCTAAGCAAAGACAAGATCACCTTCAGCAAAGTGAACGGAGAGTGCAACATGACGACTCTTCCCTCAGGGCACGCAGCTGTGGATGTGCTTGACTTTGGTCCTGAAGGTTGGGTGATGCCTTCCGCGTGTGCAGGGCGTCGTATGGAGTCCGACTTTCGCACTGGGCAGGTTTTTGGCTCGAGACCAAAGACTACAAGATCGCCCAAGACTCTTAAGTCCGAGGCCTATGCTAGCTTCTCGTGCCCTGCAGCAGCAGCAGCAGGGGCGGCAGCGGAATCCATGGCAGCTAGTGCGGAATCCCGTCAGCCGGCCAAGGCTCGCCGTCCGAAACTGGCGGGTTTTGTTGGACAAACTCTGCTCGCTGCTGGCCTGGGGATACTGGCAAACCGTGGTGTCACCGTGGCTCTCTCTTCCCGGGCCAGAGTCGCAGCAGCAGCCCAGCCCTACGGATACCACTTCGCCAGCAACCTTGACTACGAGTTCGGCTACCAGCAGGGGCCAGATCTACAAGAACTACCTGGAAGGCGAGAGGCCCGAACAGCTGGCTTCGGTGAAAGGCGTGCCGACTCAAGAGATTGGCCGCTGTGCTCACCCAGCTCAGCAGCTCAAAGGAGGAGGCAATGGACACATGAACTGGTTCCACTGCAACCTGTGCAAGGCTCGATGGAAACTCAGCCCGAGAACAGCCGGAGCTTTGACCGGCCGACCAGTGGAGACCGTGAACCAGTCGAAGGAGAAGACCCTCAACCTGGCGGAGAACGCTCTGAAACAACAAGAGAAGCGAATGGCCCAGAAGCACCAGGTGGAGATGGGAAACCTGATGCAGCAGCTGGCGGACGAGCGCGCCAGGAGCGAAGAGCTGCAGACTACGCTGGACTTGCGCGAGGGCGAGTACCTGGAGTTCGAGAGGGCGGTGGAGAACGTGACCGCAATGGAGGCTCACCTGTCCGAGATGGACCCGACTACCGCGAACCAGGTGCAGGCAATGGTCTCCGAGTTCAAGAGAGTTCAGCGCTACGAGCAGGAGACCCGACATCGAGCGAACACGCTGCCCTTGCGAGAAACCAAGAGCGACTGGGAGCAAGCCGTGGCCACGATGAAGCAAGCGGTGGACATGGTGAACCAGTTCTACGCGCGCATGATGACCCAAAGAACCCAAGTGGCGAAGCAACTGGCAGGAATGTGAACGTAGGCCAGAACATCAGATCGTGGGATGGAACGCGAGTGTTGCAAAGTGCTACGCCTAACATGGTGCGTCGTTGGATGGCCAAGCCTCTTCCCTTCCTGGACGACTTTGTGGTGGTCTCCAAGAATGGTGTCCTGCAGCGAATGGACCGGCAGGACGTGAAGGGCCTGCGCAGCCTGGAAGACGAGGAGGTCTATGTGGTGGTCAAAGAGCCCGAGCTGTACTTGGAGCACCAGAGCGACGAGACCAAGATCGACAAGGCGAAGTCTGATCAGATCCTGGACTACCTCGTGGGGGCTAGTGCCGGGGTTGACGCCATGACCATAGACCTAAAGGGCGTCAACCAGAATGCGGTGTGGAAGGACATCGAGAGCCAAGGTCCCAAAGTAATATACATGAACAAGGTGGCGTCGGAGCAGTCGTCGCTGGCTTGTCGCATCGCGAGACATCAGTGGAGGAAGGGCCGTGGCTTCGTAATCAGTGCCTTGGGGCCGCTGTCATCAGGCTTGAAGAACCTGAAGGAGGCCACTTCAGAAGGCACCGCGTCCTACCTGCTATACCGCAAGAAGTACCAGATCACAAACTTCAAGGACGCAGTCAAGTATGCCATGGCGAAGGGCAAGCCGCCCCGAGCGGAGGGGGCAATCATGGACTATAACCTCGAGTGCTTCCCCGGAGAGGTCGCAGAGCAGGACATCTTCGACGAGCTCGACCTTCGCCCGATGGACACAGTGGACGAACGTCCTGAAGACTCGGTCGTCCCGGTGGGTGAGCCTACAAGACAAGAAAAGGAGGCAGTGATGAAGCTGCATCGAAACTTGGGACACCCTAGCTTGGCGGATCTGGTGCGAACTCTGAAGGTGAGCCGAACACCAGACAGGATATGGCGTTGGGCGAAGGACAGTTTCAGATGTCCTACCTGCGCTGCCAGTAGAACTCCGAAGGCGCATAGGCCGGCGATGGTGCCCAGGTCGTACGCGCCCAACACCGTGGTCGCGATCGACCTCTTGCAGATGCCGAATTGGGATGCTTCCGGACAGAACTGGTACTTGAACATGATTTGCCTGGGCACCTCCTTCCAGATGGTGGAAAAGCTACGAAGCAAAGAGCCCGTGAGTGTGTGGGCGGCCTTTACCAGAACGTGGGGGCGCTTCTTAGGAATGCCACAGATCCTCCTTCTGGACCAAGGGCGAGAGTTCTTGGGCGAATTTCGAGACCGATGCGCGGAACTAGGCGTGCTTCTGCACGTTATTGGGGCCAGGGCGCCACACCAGAACGGGCGCTGTGAAAGGCATGGCGGCCTCTTCAAGCAGATGATGGAAAAGGCGAAGTGGCAGAATCCTCCGTGCTCAGAGGATGACCTCAGGTTGCTGACACGTGAGGTGGAAGCAGCCAAAAATCGCCTCTTCAATCGCTCCGGCTTTTCTCCAGCTCAAAGGATGCTGGGGCAGACAGCGCGGACCAATGGGGAGCTCATGTCGGACGATGCCATTGACCCCCCCTGGTGAACCACGGTGAGGAGGTGGAACGAGTGTTGGCAGCGCGCAGGGCTGCCCAGAAGGCGTTCGTGGAGACCAACCTGTCCGAGGCGGCTAAGCACGCTCTCCGAGCCAGGAATCGCGCGCACCGAACCTTTCAGCCGGGAGAGATCGTCTACATTTGGCGGTCGTGGAAGGATAAAGGTGTGCTTAAGCCTAACTGGGTCGGGCCAGGCGTCGTTTTGATGCCTGAGGGAGCGAACTGCTACGTCAATGTGTTGGGCAGACTTTGGAAGGTCTGCAACGAGCACGTGCGGGAGGCCACGTCGGAGGAGGTTCGCGGAGTGGAAGCTGTCATGAAGTGTTCCAAGACCTAAAGGAGCGCTTCAAGAAGTCGAGCAGTCGTTTAATCGAGGACCACACGGGCGACCCACTTCCACCAGGAGTTTCCCGAGGAGCCATAGTTCGCGAAGCTGGCGAAGATGAAGTGAGCGCAGAAGGCCTACATCGAGGGCTACCCCGAGTGAGGATTGACGAGCCGGAGACGCCCATGGTGCCTATACCGATTCCGTCAGAAGAACTTCCCGATCCAGCGCAACTGCCAGAAACTCCAGTGCCAGAAGTCCCAGCAGAGCCAGCAAGGCAAGCGTCAGCGCCGGAGCCCGAGGCAGAGATAGAGGTTCCCGAACTCCCCGTTCCTGAAGCTCCCGGTCGAGAAGAACGACTACGCGCAGCTGTGGACTCCGCGGTGCAGAGCCAGAGATTGGACGGTGTTCCCCCAAGAGCGCCAAGCAGGCTAGCAGAGGCGGAGAGCAGCGCCGGGTATGAGCCGGTGCGATCTTCCCTGAGAAGGCAGCAGGAGCCGGGCAACCCATACTCGTTCTTTGGCCAGGATGAGTTCGAAGAAGGACCGACGCCAGTTCCACCTCGGCGACAAAGCGAAGTGCAGCGTGACACCTGGGAGCTAAAGCCGGCCCTGGGCGTCCTGAGAAGGCATCACGTTCGCTGGCGCAGCGCGATGTGCACACCCTGGGAGACGACGAGGCTGCCAGTCAAGCTGGAAGATCTCACAGGAGAGAGGAAGACGATGGCGAAGATGAAAGATGGAAGCGTGCAAGAAATGGAGGACGATTGGAAGAGTTTGAAACCACAGCGAGATCTGAAGGCCAAATGGAAAGGCTTCACCGACTTCTATGTCACCAAGAAGGCCTTAAAGAACCTGAAGCATGTAACGCCGAAAGAGGTCCCCAACTTTGACGTGGAGACGACCGAAGCGTATACGTTCATGGTCCTCAATGCCGAGACCTTCGTCATGAAAAAGGTGGCGACGGATGAGGTAAGCGAGGCCGACATTCCCGAAGAGGAGTGGCCAGCCTGGCGACTACAAGACGCTGAAGAGTGGAGCAAAATAGAAAGTTCCGGCGCGATGAAGGTGCTGTCGGTGGAGGAGTCGAGAAGAGTCCTCAAGGAGCTGGAGTCGCAGGGCAAGCTGAACCGGGTGATCGGGTCAAGAATGGTCCGAAGGCTGAAGCCCGGGGAACAGATTGGCGAGACACCGTCAAAGAAGTCTCGTTTTTGCGTGCGAGGTGACATGGATCCCGATGCTCTGGACTTGGAAAGATACAGCCCGACGGTCACGACACAGAACTTGCAAGTGGTTTTGCAGCTGGCCGCAAGTATGAAGCTGAAGGGGTCCTGCGGGGACCTGAAAGCAGCCTTCACCCAGTCGGACCCTCTCGTGAGACCCGGCGGCAAGCTCTACGTGAGGCAGCCAAAAGGGGGTCTACCGAACATGGACCCAGAACAGATCATCGAAGTGGTGGCCGGCGTTTACGGGCTCATGGATGGTCCCATACATTGGCGCCAGACGCTGAAGAGCTACATCGTGAAGGACTTGAACTACAAGCAAAGCAGGCTAGACCCAACCATCTTCGTTAAATACTTAGAGGGCACCGTTGAAGGGATCATAGTGATCGAGATCGACGACTTGCTGTGCTTTGGCAACCGAGATCATGAAGTTCAGCTGGCAAAACTGCGCGAGCGCTTTAAATTCGGAAAATTCAAGCAGTTGATGCAGCTCTTGGATGGCACGACATTCAACGGGCGACGCATCAGACAACTGAGCGACTACACCGTCTGCATAGACATGGGCAAGTTCGTGTCCGAAAGAATGGCGCCAGTGAGTCTGGAAAAGGGACGCAGAGCTCACCCCGAGGCGGACGCGACAGAGGAAGAGAAGAACAAGTTCAGAGGTGCCGTAGGATCTTTAGCGTGGGCCGCCAAGGAGTGTCGTCCAGACGCCGCCGCTGGAGCCAGCATAATGGCATCCAAGTTGAGCACGCTCAAGATCAAGGACATTCTCGAGCTGAACCAGTGCATCAATAAGGTGCGCGCTTGGCCAGACCTCACCTTGCGCTACTTCCCAATAGAGTGCGAGGACCTGAGATGGGGCGTGGTCACGGATGCAAGCTTCACCAACTACAGCGACGGCTCCACCCAGGGGGCCTTGGGAGTCATAGCATTCCACAAGGACATGTTGCAGGGGCACGAAGCTACCTGCTCGCTGGTCTGGTGGAAGAGCGGAAAGCTGAGAAGAAAAGTGAACTCAACCTTGGCCGCCGAGACTCAATCGCTCAACAAAGGTCTGGGAGATCTTCTGTGGGCGAAAGCAATCTGGAATGACTTGATCCAGGAGAAGTTTAGCCTCGAAGTTTTCAAAGAGAACGCCAGAGCCCAGGCCGATTTGGTGCTGCAGAGTGCCAAGGCAGATCACACGCTCAAAGATTCGCTGACAGTTGTGGATGCGAAGTCGCTCTACGACAACCTCCGAAAGGAGGGTTCGCTGGCCCAAGACAAGTACACCGCGCTGGACTTGGCGATAGCTCGTGAGAGAATGGATGGCGTAGGCGCCGAAGTTCGCTGGGTTGAGCATCAAGCCATGATTGTAGATGCCCTCACAAAGATTCAAGGCAACGCTGAGGCCCTAAAGAAGCTCTTAGAAAAAGGGACATACCAGTTAGTTGCCGAAACCGAAAGGCTTGAAGAGCGGGCTGAGCGCCGAGATGCCGGGACCGTGAAACATCGGTGAATGGCCAGAAAGAGTTTTGGGAGCTGTGAAATCAGTGGAGGCTTCCTCCCTGGCCATATCACCCGCGGTCCTGAAATCAGTGGAGGCTTCCTCCCTGGCCATATCACCCGCGGTCTTTCTTTTCGGCCCACAGAGGGCCCTCTTGATCCTTAAGCTACTGACTTTGCAGTGTGCGTAAAATTGAGTCCGAGCCATAGATTCGAAGTGGGCGCTGTCATAAGTATATTGGCAACCTCATTAGCAACCCCCAACCCCGGGAAAACAAGAACAAGCTGAAGAGCCCCTGAAGTCTCCCCCCCTTTGCCAAAGGATCCTGGGCTTCTTCCTTGCTCTGGGCCTCCTGGGTCAGAATCTCTCGGCTGCGAGGGAAGAAGGCTTCGGGGGCGGGATCCCTTTGCGGTCCATGCCCGTGTCTGAACCCCAAACCCTAACAGAATCCTACAGAGAATCCCCCCCCCCCCCCCCCCCCAAATCAGGGTCTCCCAGTGCAGGCTGGCTTTGGGAGCCGATGGCACCCGTGACCTTGGCGGGCGCCTGGTTTGAACGGTTCTTTGATGTTCTTTGATTCCTTGTGAGGTTTGAGAGAGGTCGCGAGAATTTCTTCACTCGTGTGGTTTGAGCTCTGAGTGCCATAGTTTGCAAGCCCTTTGGACCTGACGCTTCAAGGCGATGTTGAGGAGAGCATGAGAGGCAAGTTGCCAAGCGCCCCAAACTACGTCCGATGACATCGTGCATAAATTCCTAAGTTGCGAAACCCAAAGGTCTGCCACTGCCCAGTGAAGTGCAGTGGCCGGTGGTGGGATCCCAGCTGAGCTCAATGCTGTCCCTGCCACTTGGGCGTCGGGAAATGAGGCGTTGGACAATTTACTAGGTAGGGTTTACGGTTTAGGGTTTCGAGGCTAAACGCCTGCAGTGGGTAATAGCGGGCAGGGAATGGGCATAGTGAGCTTGCAAAGTCAGGAGACACATCTGCAGGCTTGGTCGGCAGGGCCCCAAAACTGCCACGACTCCTGATCGGGCGATTCGTTCATGCCCACAGAACCAGCTGCGAGAACTCCCAGCCCTAGCATCTTCATCAGCTGCTTGCAGGACACCGGCAACTGAGAAATTACATCTCCCTGAAACGTCTGTACAGAGGTTCATCGGACGAAAGAGTCAGCTGACGCACTGCACAGAACGGGCACAACATGGTCTTGCCTTGTGAATATCAACGCCCAGGGTCGTCATGCTGGTCGTGGACTTGACGACCACGCTGCTTCCCCTGGAGCTGATGACGCCAACAAAATCCCTACAGATGGATGAAGAGCTGCCTGTCAGCAGCTGGCGCAAAGCAGATTACCCAGCAAAATCGAGGAAGAACATGATGTTCGCAGGAGATGACGTCAGACGAGTGTTAGACCCAGTCCCCGAAGAGGTACCATGGTGCAACCCTCATGCACGCATCTTCTGTATGCGCCCGGTTGTGACGTCGCTTTTACTTGTAGATCGGCTTCAGACTCCTATGTGGGCAACAGAAGTTGTCAGGTTTCGCACTGCTGGCTGCTCTTCACTGGCGGGGGGCGTCTTCGGCGGCGTCTCGTATGTGTCTTTGTCGCCCACGCGCTTGATACTCAGTCAAAAGACCATGGAGTGCCCCTTCACTTGCACCTGAACTGGAGAACCATTGTTCAATTTCTCGCCCTGATCCGAAGTGGGAATGAGTCGAGAGTCTTTCTTGAGCGTTCCCTCCACTGTCGCTGTTTTTCCTCCTTTCCCTCTAAAGCCCTACAAGCCTGAACCTAAGCCCTGAGCCCTCTGTAGCCAAGGAACGTGGATGCTGGCGGTGAGGGGCGCGAGACTGGACTCATCTCGGCTGGGCTTTGCGTGCTCTGGAAACTCGGGGTGCACCAAGCAGATTTTGTGGTTACCCACACAAAACACACATTGGGTGGAGCGTATAGACGCTGCGTGCAAAACATGGCGAGGGCTTGGACAGTTCTTTGCAGAGGAACCCCAAGAGAGGCCGCAATACAACAACCACAGCACCAACAGCAACAGCAACTGCAACTGCAACAGCAACAGCAACAGCAACAGCAACAGCAAGCACTACTGCTACTCAGAAACCCAAGAGTTTGTGAGGGCTTTGGGATGGCTAGTGATCTTTCAATAATCATTAAGATGTAAACTTCTGGATGTGCAAAAAGCCAGAATAAATGTTGATAGAATATAGGATCTCCTCCAAATATAGGATCAAAGAAAGTGTACTAGAATGAAGATCACCCAACATGAAAAGAAGTGTACCAGATAAGCTTGGTAATGTTAGTAACAGCATGAAAGCTCTAATCAACAAAGCCCAAGGAAATAATGGGATAGTCTTTAACGCCAGATAATAAGATCTCAGATGTAGAATTGTTGTCCAGAAGTTAAGAGATGTAAGACATGAAGGTATACCAGAGAATAAAAATCCAAATATGGGATTTCCTGTGCTTGAAGGTGATAAACTCATACAGGAAGTGCATAATGGTGGAAAAATGCTCATCCTGTGCCACCTCCAAATTCTGAGACTATAGAAAGGATTCGGAGACATGAAAATTTGGCCAGTCAGTGGCCCTGCGCTGAGTGTCTGCAGGTGGTTCCTCGAACTGCCCTAGCGCTCACGCGTGACTGTGATGGCATCCCTGCTACGCTCCTTAACACACACGCAGGCGTCATTGAGGCTGAGGCCATGCCCAAGTGGTTACAGCATTTGTGCTCCTTTAGTGCAGCGTGCTGCAAAAGGATGTTTGACGTTTCTGAAACAGGGCGCATTCTTTGTTCAGCGTTTTTCCTTTGCACACACTGCAGCAGAGTCTTTGATGTTTCTGCAGCCAGAAGCGTTATCAAGGTTTTCATGCCTTTTGGCGGGCATGCCATTCAAAATTTCCAGCGTTTTTGCTTCTTTCTACAACATACAGGCGCCTGTCTCTTCGTATCATCCAGCCAAGGTTCGAAGCGGGCCGATCATATTTTTTGCGATCCCTGCATTTCCAAGACGAGCCCTTGTGCGTGGGCCATTGAGGGCCTTGCACTTCCCTTGCAATATCCATGAATGCCTTGCGTGCGATAAGTATGATGCAAGCAAGATTGGCTTTGGCTTGGCTTGGCAATGTGGGAGGACAAAACACGGGCGTTGCGCATTCTACTCTACTTCTATTTCTACTTCTACTTCTATTGCTACCGCTGCTTCTGCTTCTACTGATTTCTCCTCCTCCCACTCCGACTAGAGTTGCTCGTGCTGGTATCATCACTATCCTTCATGCAAATTCTACGTTCATTCCAATTAACTTTTCTTCCCAGTACTATTCCTACTGCCAGTACGACTACTATTCCTACCACTATTGTCTTTATTGTTGTTCGTATTGTCAATATTAGATATTGCGAGTCCTATAACCAATACGACAATTTGAAGCTGCTTACTGGGTGTTTCTTCTACGTGCCTTCTAACGAACCTCTAGGCTCAAACGTGCCTTGGCATGTTCGCACGAATCGGGCGCGTGCCTCCTGCTTAGCTTCACCTATGTTTGAGTTCGATTTTGTGTTTTTTAGGCTGCTTTGGTCTTAGGATGTTTAGGATTCATGCTCTTGGGCTTGTACGGTTCTGGGACGCAGGGCTGAACTTGGTCCACTGAGTCAGGATCTGGCTTGGACCGGAGCTCACCGCTGGAGTGCCGAAATTCGTGGTTGGAGGTGCAGACTGTCCACGACGGTTGGGGCATCTTGCGGGAGGCTCTTGACAGGTTCAGACCCACCGCGATCATGGAGTCAAGTTTCAAGTTCAATGTAAAGGACAGGCTTTGGCAAAATGGCACAGTAGCCCCCTGTTCAACCAGGTTCCTCGTTCCCATTTTGCGAACAACAAAAGATGCCCCTTCTTCCTATGTTGCTGGATCACCTGGTGAAGCATCGCCCAATCAAGACGTCGGCAGTTGCCCGCGAAATCCTCCACACCACGCCCGCATTTTTCGCCCGCGGTCCGCGATGCAGGCATGCTCTGTCACCTGGCCTTCGGCTACATCCTCGATGGTCTTTGGGAACCAAGGGCACTGCCACTCATCCGCATGGCACGTAGGACCGGCATAGGATGCGGGAGAAAGAAAAGGCACCTGAGGCCTTGCGCCCTTCTTAGCCCTTATCATTGTCCATTCATTTCTTTGCTAAACCTTCGCGAAGGTTGTCCCACGGAGATTATGCCATCATCCTGGCCGCGGGCCTAGCACCCCAGGGACATCAGCTCGTTGGGCTGTGTTTTCCAGACTTCCAGAGTTGAGGCCACGGGTCTCGCGGGGTTTCAATTATCGTTGCTCGGGTGGTCGGGCTTTCGGGGTTTTGCGTTTCAGGGGGATTGATAGGGGCCACCCAACAAGCGCGACATCCCCCAACAATTCAAAAAAGGAACAGCTCCATGAGAAAAAGCGCGCATGGAGGCCCGGAACCCAAAGCTGCAGAGGCCATGGTGCTGTACTACCTGGCCACGGATCTAGTGCCCGCCATTCTGGTGGGTCTGGCTCTTTGCAGCTTCCCGGAGGCTTCAGATTTCGGATGATGCTTGCATTGGAGGTGTTGAGCTTCTGGTTCTTTCGGCTTTCTCCCTAAGCCAAAAGGAATCTGCTGGTACCATTCCAGATATCCGAGGCTCCCCCCTCCCCGCCTCCCCCTCCCCCACTCTTCCCTCCTTACATCACCCCTTCCCCCTCTCCCCCTCCCTCTTCCCCTCTCCCCCCGAGAAACCTCCAGAGCCTAGGCTTCAACTTTATGCTGCGCTACTCGCAGAGTGGGCCGCTCGAGTTTGTCACCACCGCAGGCCTTTTTGTTGCTAGTGCCGGTATTCGGGCTTCATGGGGATTATAGGATCTCTATGCAGGCTGGCGCTTAAGCCCAAGCCCTGCCCCGAAGTCCAATTGAGAGTCCATGTGAGGCAAACACAGTCATCCAAGTTGGGTTGCTTTCGCCCCTGGCCCGAAAGCATTCAGAAATTCAACGGGGCCTGACCCGCGCAGGCGAGGCGGCCATGTTTTCAAACCGCTTTCGCTCCACCGAGGACCGCTTGCATCCTGCGCCTGCATTGGGCGCATGTCTTGTGCAATGTGGTAGATATGCTTCCACTATGCTTCCCACTATTTTTCGTGTTGGGTAGTATGTGGCCTGGAGGCCATTGCACTGGAATGCCAAGGTACCTCAAGACCTCCCGAGGCAGGTTGCATGATGGGGAGGACGGGGAGTGCCAGACACGCGTTTCATCTCAGGGCGCTTTGAGATTGCGGAAAGCCCCTCCCTCCACTTGTGTTATGTTGGATCCTGCTAAGTCAAGTATGCTGAGTCGTTAAGCTCCCCAGACGGAGCCAGAAAGACAAGGACATACCTGAGGTGCTGGAGCAAGTAGCTCATTCATGTTCACTGAAACATGGAAAATGCCAAGCACTTGAAGCTTCGGAGCTTCGGCGGGCGCTTTGATGCCAGGCATCGTGGTCGCCCGGACCTTCTGCAGCCAGCTTTTTTTTGGCTCCATCGCGGCCATCCTCTCGGAGGCCCAGAGCTCTCATTCTACAAAGTATGGTGTGATACTTGGTGTGATAATGTGTGATAGCACCCTTTCGTCTTCTAGTCGTCTACCAGGTATGTGGAGTTGATGGAACGCAATGGATTGTAGCACGCTTCCCGGAAGCCAAAGTTACCCAAGCTGGACCGTAGCCAGCGGCGTGGCCCTGAACCCCACTTGCCCTGAACATTGAATCAACGTTTCGATTCTGATTTTTCATATTAGCATATGTCTGTGTGCAACCATTGTTACCATGGATATTGACAAACTCCCCCTGAGGTGGGCCCTTGGCTCAAGGATGGGCGCTTTCTTTTGCTGGACTTGTCCAGCTTGCGCTCCCTGGTTCAACGACGGTTTAACTGAGACTCCCACTTGATTTTGATGTGTTTTCTAAATCCTATTTTTCTCATTGGTGCTTTCTACAGGGTTTTTATGTAGGTTCAGGGGCTCACCGGGTGAAGTAAGACCACAAGGCTTTGAGTTGCATGCCACCTGAAAGCCCTGAACTTCCCTGAACCCAGAACTGCGCCCCGGCAGCTTCTTTGAGGGATGAGCCTTCGAGGCTCCATCGACTCCTCGGCACTGGCGGGTTTCCGCAAGCTGCCTCCGCACGTGCAGACCGTCGCAGTGGGCCACGCGGCCAGACTTTGGGTTTTGGGATTCACAAAAATGTGCAGGAAGCACATCGAATGTTATGGAGATCTGATGCCTGTGAAGGCTGTAGTGGGCGGCTAGTGGCAACACAACAATTTTCAGGGGCCCCCGCATTTTAGACTTTACCCTGCACTTGGAACTCTGCTTGTGGTTCCCAGGGCTGCCATTGCAGCTGGACACGCAGGTTCGTCGTGCAGGTGGGTCGGCATTTCGAATTTGCGATTTCCATGTTTCTCACTGTACATTGCCGTCTTTTGACACATCAAACTCATGCCCTGCTCAGCATCTTGACGTATCATGCGACCGGGGATCACCGACAAACCCAGCAGAGGGGGAGACTCACCCAAAAGGCCTCCTTGACTGCGTGACCCCTCGTGACCCCTCTGCCAGGCCTCCCGGTTTGCATCTTCCAGTCCATCGACGAAGCTTTGGAGTGGTGCGAGGACCACGTCCTGAAGTTCAGGCAAGGCAGGGGTTCATTGAGTTCATTGCTGGGCTCATTGGGGTCATGTCTACTGCTAATGACTCTCCCGTTGCAGGACTTGGTGCAGGGATCTTGTATTGGACTCGGTAGATTCTGGGAATTCAGCTGTCCTGACCTGCTGACCTGACGCAAAGAGGGTCGGCTTTCACCTCAGGTACCTGGAGAAGAATTCGACGGACCTGAATTCCTATCTCCTGGGTCGTCCAAGCAACAATCCGTCTCTGCCTGCACCGGATGAACCAAGGCCGGTAGGGTTCAGGGTTTACACTTTCCGTAGAACTTTTGGTGGGCCAGGCTGGCAATCGAAGTCACCTCATTTGCAAGACACCTTGAGAGACACGACTTTGATCGGCTTCGTCAAATTTCGTCAACAACAGCCTCCTGACTCAAACCCAATCCTCGCCAGTCAGGATTGATGGCGCTGCTGTCTCTGCAGCTGTCGCCCGTGCCTTGGGCTCCGGCCTTGAGGAATCGAAGCTGTGGGCGTGCTTACTCGTGAGCATGGTGTCCGGAACCGACAGATGCTGCTAGAGATCAGAGTTCCAAAAGGAGAGGTGAGGGTGCTCAGCAGTTTTCATTGTGGCAGCAATAAGGGTATAACAGGGGTTTGGAAGGATAAGGGCAGGAAGTAGCAGAACCCAGACAGAATTTCGAGTTCAGGAAGCAAGCAGCCCTGTATGGCTTGATTCTACCCGAACCAAATGGAGGACTTGGAGGATCTGCTGGAACAGGTACCAGCCACTGGGCAGATTTAAGGTGTGCATTGTCCAAGCCGAGGTTCTTCTTGCTGGATACATTGAGATGAAATTTGTTGAACTCGTACTATTCCAAGTTCGACACGTGTCAGGTCACTGGTACCCTAGCCTAGACTCCTGCCCTAGGCCTACCCCAATCTAGGGTAGGCGCCTACCTTAGCCTAGACCCCTACCCTAGGCCTACCCCTAGGCTAGGGGCCGGGACTTCTATACCGGTCACTGAAAGCAAAAAAGTTCAACCTCCAACCTATGACGAATTTGGATAAATCCGTCGTCCACGGATCTCGAATCCTTCCCGAATCCTCTCCCCCGAAACGAGCCAACACCCTGGCACTAGCTTCGGCGTTCGCTTTTCCATTCTCAAGTTGTTTCATATTGCTTCCGCAGTGTGGTTCACCAGCTCAGCTGTAGATTCGTTCCTTTTGCCCGACACCCTCAACTCATCAAAGACCTCACATGCTGAGGTTCGGGCCCGCGAGGTTGTTTTTCGCGAAGGCTTGGCGGCCGAAGGTCTCTATGCAGCTTTGCCGGCACCAGCACGGAGATCTCGCAATATCTTCAGATCAGCTGGTGATTTTTCCTCCTGAGCTACCCCCCCCCCCCCCCCCGGCTGGTTTTTGACACGTGCTCTGCCCCATGTATGGATCTGCACGAGTTTGGGTGTCCAGGCAACAGGATACTCTATTGCTTGTGGCCTGTTCGTGACTTGTTTTCTTGCCGGGGCCTCCCCCCGCTGCCCTCAAGAAAAGAGCCCCCCTCCCCCGCCCCCCGGAACACCTCGATTTTCTCAGAATTCAATGCTACCAGTCAAACTTTTGCTTCCGTTTACTATGTTGTTCGGAAAGCCTTGATCCTTTATATCTCAAGATGCAAACCTTTAACCAAAGCAAACAGAAGTTGTTCAATCGAAAAGCCCCAAAAAAGGAGAGAGGGCAGAGGAAGGGGGGCACCGGAACGATGATGTCAGCACTCCCTGAGTCGAAATGATAGCTCAGAGCCCTAAATCGCTGGAGGTGGTTGTCAGTGGTGCTCTGCAGATCCAGCATGGCAGCCAGCGCGGTATCGTGCTCGGTCCAGGCGCAAAGATGAAGATGTTTGAGGGTCTGAACAATCGAGATTCTCAACCAAATTGTGACGGAATCAGATTTGAGGCATGATTAGGACAGGCTTCGGGAAGACGTACTGGACACTGCCTTGGTTCTGTTCAACATTGAGGTGAACAGTTTGCATAGAAGGACCAAGACGGACCCATTCAACTCGCAGGATCATGTTTGACGTCTTCCGTCAGCAACTGCGGGTGTGTATCCCGCAAGGTGGCGCTAGATTTGCGGTGTGGCGCTAGTCTTTCAACATCTTTCAACCATGCAATCCTGTGTCGTGTCTCATGCACATCAGACAGCTCCTTCCCCTGAAGCTGGCCTCAGTCCTGGACGCTTTCAAGCCGGCCTCAGCTGACAGTTGGTAAAGAAACTCTTTTGTCCACACTGCCCTGAGGAGAGATTGCCGTGGATGTGAACATAAAGCGTATCTTCGGGCAGCCGCTTTGCAGCATGCTGCTGCTTTTGCCCGGGCTGTGAGTGGGTGAATTGGTGCTTTAAGTCGTGGTCCAGGATGTGTGTGTGTGTGGCATGGAGGTGATGCTTGTTGTGCTGACAGTATTGGTTTGAAGAGGGGCAGAGTCCATGCCTTGTTAGTAGGAGTTGTTCTCCGCATTGGAGCATCGCTGTACATGATATCCACATTCTTGACAGATTTTTGCATTGCGCCTACAGTCGCCGTTGTTTTGTAGAACAAAGTATTTTCCAAAGTGGCACAGTCAGAGGTCCATACAGCAGGGACTGCCTAACAAACGGTGAACACGACAATTATCTATGAGGTGCGCCTTGGAGACATACTTGCTGATGATATCTGACGATTATGACTCAATTATGACGGATGTCATGCAATGTAACGCAAGCTGGGCATGGTTCCGTACTAGCCGCTGCTCCTGCTGATACTTCCAGAAGCTGTGTGCAACCAGAGTGTGGCTTGTAGGCTTACTTTAGTTGGAATCTGAACAAGTACAGACTCCACGGACGAATCTTCTTTACACGTGTTAATGTGTCTACAGTACGAAACCCTGTATGCAGAGGAGTGGTAAATGAATAGTAAGTGGGATGAAACATGATCCAACAACATCGCAGGCAGGCATAGGGAAGGCTGTGAAGTGCCCCTTTTGCTGCATCTGCTGCACAGGCAAGCTGAAGCTCGCCGCGGTAAACCCGTGTCAGCTGGCGATCTCCTTTGCGAGGCCATGGTCGGTTGCTCCTATCAGACTTCTTGCTTAGTGGGCTTAGTGCTTGTGCACCTTTCCACCATGAAAGGCGCCTTAGTGGCCCTAGTTTCCGCCATGGAGGGGGGGGGGGTGCAACATGCAAATTCTGGCGTTGCTGGCGGTTTCGCTCTCTTTCTTTGTCAGTATGTCAGTAGTTTTGCACTGGTCCTACGGTCATAGTACAGACGCGTAAGACCTCAGAAGTGTTTGTGCTGCTTGTGCTCCCGGAGGCTGCGCTGTATGGGCCCTTGCTGCACACGTCGTCGCTCATCGCGGACACGCCCTCGCTGCTGCTCCTGCTCAGACGGGACAAGCTGCTGCTTGCTGAGAAGCGGTATCCACAGGCAGGGGATGAAGAGGGTGATGAAAGTGTTGCAATTCCCGCATGCCCCAAGTCGCCGTTGGGGTTCAAAGTAAAGGGCACCGGCAACCTCAGGTTTTTCAGGACTTGTTTCGGTCATCCGCGTTTGTCTGGCAGCCAGGCTGCTATTGCCCTGCACCGCCGACTGCTGGTGTCGCAAATGCAGTGATTTGGCGAGTTTTGGAAATTTGTTGCGCCGATCTCATGTCAGATGCACATGCACACGCAACTGGCATGCCCTGAGATCATGTGACATGTTCGAACCCAGAACCAGAACTTGCTCAACAGACGACATCGGAAGTCCAAACTGTCAGCGCTCAGTCGTGGTAAGGGTGTGTCAAGGATCTCGGTAGGATCTCGCTTGAGCATCACTTCGTGACCCACTTAACATTAGAAGCTCACCTTTCTTCCAGCGGGGAGGTGTGCAGGGCAAGGATTCACCCGCCCTGTTGTTTCCATCGTCCTGCGTGCTGAAACAGAACCCTAAAGTCCCAAAGGCCTTAAACCTCGTGGTTGCAAATTGATGCCCTGCCAGCAAGGAAGACGGGCGCATGGCCTGCCGTCGCACCGGAGGTGTTGTCCTCCCGCCGGACCGCCAGCCTGTGAAGAAAGAGCCGGATGCGCGCAGCTGTCCGAACGGGTGTGTTGCTCCCAGCTGGGATGCAGTGTTCCTGAGAATGCACACCCGCTGGGCTGTACGCTTGCCGAAGCACAGTACATAGCGCAACGTAGTGCAGCAGACGCAACGCCATGAACTCTGGTCCGAAGCCGCCGGGAGGCCTTGGTGCGGCTGAGCCTGCCCTGTCGAGTCCTTCAAGAAGGTCGGAAGTGCTGCTCTGTTCAGAGACAAGAGACAAAGGGGGGGACGTCCGGAGGTTCCAGGGCCTAGGAACCGGGCGTCCATGTCCCTCGAGTTTTATCGGGAAAGATGGGGGCATGATCGTGATCTGCGTTGTCCAACCACCGTTCTTTGCGCTCTGCCAGTCCATCAAATTCTTGGCAAACCTCGCCATTCCAATCATTTCAGCGTGTTCGAGACACTCGTGAGGTCCTGGCAAGGCATCAGGTTAGGTGGGCGATCGTGGGGATGTTGGGCGTGGCGGCAGGTCTCGTTGCGCGGCATGCAGTGAACGCAGCAGAGATGGAAGGCAGGGCATTCACAAGGGCTGCGATGCTTCTGACGCGGCGTGTTTTTCTGTACTTGCTCGAGTCTTGATGACTTTGACTGGTTAACCAGTTTGAGCACAGAGATGTTAAGAGTCTTGTGCAATCCGGCACGGTCGCTTCGCTGAATAACTCTTGATTGGGATTTGTCTTCTTTTATGTGAGAAGCAACAAACATCCTTACCTCAGGCATTCTTCCTGGCGGATCCCTGCAAAACTCGAACTATCATGACCTACAATAAATACAAAAAAATCAGATCACGCAGTGTAGTAACAAGATAATCTATAAGGGTCCCGAAAGGATCCCAAAGGCCTCCCTGCAGACACAGCGGTGCGACTCCTGGTTGGCCTTGGCCAAGCGGCGTCGACGCGGGACCTGTCCGGCTTCCCGGCTGGCGGAGATGTTCCGGGTCTGGTGTAAGGCAGTGTGAGGCAGTGTGAGGTGTGAGGCAGTGTAAGGCCTTAGGACTTAGGATGGTTGGGCAAGGAAGGACTTGGGGTTTATAGAGCTTAAGAAGAGGTCCACAGTCGCGCCTGCCTTCGCTTAAGCCATAAGCTGCCCAACATTTTCCCTAAACCCGAACCCCCATATCGAAAGCCCTGGCATTAGGGTCAGCTGCTCGCTCTGCGTAAGTGTGTTTCCCTGGGCACCTTAAGGTTGCGTGAAGGCATATTCAACGATGCAATTGGGATGAAGCCTTCTGCCGAATTCTACCCGCATTCCAGACACCCAGGGACCGTGGCATCTTTCTGCGGTCTCAGGCGCAGCGCACTTTGCGGTGCGCTGCAGCGGAACGCGGAGGCCCTGGACCGGCCGCGGCTTTTGGTGCAGGCCGCGATGTGGCGCGTTGGGATGAAAGGGGCTTAGCAGGAGTTTTAGTGTCGGATGGTGCCTTTGCGTGATTTTGCGTGCATCGGTATCTCTGCCCAGATATTCTTTGTTTCAGATGTTTCAGGGACTTGTCTGAATCTGGGGCTCGGGCTGTTTGATTGGGTAGAGTTTCAAGGTTTCAGGGCCCCAGCCTGCTGAAATTCAAACATGCCCATCCTGCCTCCAGATATCCAGGCCATGGATGCCTTGGCCAAGTCTCAGAGCGCTGAGGCCTGGGGGTGGAGTCAGAAAAAGTTGGGTGTGGGAGGCCATTTCGGGGTTCTTGGCGGCTGGGGTCCTGAGGCTGAGGATGGTAATAAGGATGGTAACTAGGATGCTAAGATCTTCAACTAAGCGTTTGTCTGGGGATTGCCTTCCTTACGCTCTTCGACAGCAGGAGCTGCGCCCTACTGGTATGGGGTGCAGGATGATTGAGGGGTCGGTGGAAGGAACAACGGCAGAATAGTACTGAAAGGCAGTTAAATCCCGTTTCAGGGAAGGATTGGACTGGACCCATCTCAGTTGTGGGTGTTCACTGCGACCACTGGTTGCAGGAGGACCTCCTCAAAGCCATCGGCAGGCAGATCGTCTACCACATGGCGCGAGGGCTCAGGGGACCGGAGTTGACTCAACAGCCTTGAAGGCTTAAGTAGCATCAATTCTGTAGCATCAGTTGTAGCGATTGCAACTTAAAAACCAGGCTCGCGACTTACCCTGTCAGGCTGCGCAGCGACATTCTGCAGAAACGCACACGAATGTACTAGTCTTGCCGGAAGTCTCAGGGCATCAAAAGTGCAGCAGCACTCAGGAGAGCCAATTAGCCCGTTCGTTGCTTTGAGAGCCGCTGGGGCTTTGTCTCGGCCCAGCCATGTCGCTCAAGGTGGACTTCAGCGTAAAGGACGTGGCCAACACTGCAAGTTCTTGCCAGCGCATGCGGGCGGCCTCGGCTGGTGTCTTTCCTGTGTTCGTTGTCAATGTACAGAGGCGCAATGTTGGATCGGTCTACAGTATGTGATGCAGGATGATGCACCCCCATGCACCCCCGCGCACCCCGCACCCCCCCCGCCCCCACCAATGTTTGTGTGACCAGGCTGGTGAAGGATGGGGCAGTGCTGGAAGCCATGGTGCGGCAGGACAGAGACGATGGCAGCGTTTTATAGATCACTCCCCTTTATGGTAACATGATATGACATGTCAATGTATAAATCCCATGCTTCTAACTTTGAACCTTGCAAGCCCAACACATCCCAACACTCGCATTGCACGAGGGCCTTCGGAAAGGCTGGCGCTTCAAGCCTGCCCACGCGGAGGCAGTCCTGTATTGTTTTTGGGCGACGATCATTGTGCAGCCCACGCGAAGGCCGCAAAGGCAGGTAACAGGCTTACCGGCAAACCTAAAACCTGAATTTTAAACCCTAAATCCCACTGTACCAGATGGAAAGTAACAGCATGCAGCAACCGTGGCAAGGCTGTGATCCGGGCTTGTGAAGCCGCAGGCTTCCGGCATCCGCAGCTCGTTGAGCTGAGGGAAGGCGTCTGGGGGGGAGCTCTGTGTGTGTGTGCGCGTGCGCACGTCTGTCTGTTTGTTTGTCTCTGTTTGGCTGTCTGTCTGTCGGTCTGTCTGTCTATCTGTCTGTCTCCGTGTCTCTGTCTGTTTGTCTGCCTGCATGCCTGTCTGCCAATCTGCACACGTGTTGGAATGTCTTTTGACATTGTGTCACACACGCTGCGCCTTGCTTCATGATCTCTGTCGCTTAACAATAACCGAACAGTCTTCTTCTTCTTCTTCTTCTTCTTCTTCTTCTTCTGGAGCATCGCCGTCTGTCGACTGTCGTGGATTGCAGATATCTTGAGCAGCAGTCCATACTGTACCATTCATGCGTGCGCAGCAAGGGGCATATGCAACATCTTGTGTACAGCAGTGGAGACATGCCGCAGTTCCTGTGAAGCGGTGAGCATACGCAACATGACATGCGCAGACCTGAATACATGCAACAGTCCTCTGCGTGGTGAGCCAGTGATTACATGCAACATGGCCTGTGAAACACCTTGCTTCCGGCCCCACAAGATGGGTGACCTTCTCTCACATCAATGAAGCACTCCAGTCTCACGCCGAAGCGCCCGCACGTCTTATGAGCACGCAAGACTCGTGCCCACACACGCAGTGCCCACTCACAGAAGCTGTTACCCAAAGCCCCCAGAAAACACAAAGCTTCCTGATCTGCAAATGACAACGAAAGTGCTCGAAGTGAAGCGACAAGGCTTGAGGCTGTTGCTTCATTAAACGGAGGATCAGAGCATCGCATTGAAGCTAGAGTTGTTGTTGACAGCGCCAATTGGCGCGGATTTTGAGGCCAAGCTGCATGATTTTCTACAATGCTACTACTAGAATGGTGCGATGTGAGAGAACGGGCTCGAAAATTGTACTGCTATATGCATCAGCTGACTGCTCCACAAGCTCAGGGCTAGAGCAGCAGAAAGACGCAGCCGACCACCCAGCCCCAGCTCTGTTCTGTGGGATCAAGGATTGTCCCCTGATGAGCACCAGTAGATGCAAGTTTTCGGTTTCTTCAGTTCAGGGACTCAGTCCATGGTGTATTCCAAAGCCCTTGAAAACTAGAAAACCCCGGCTGGAGTGGCACGGAGCTTCGAGACCTTGCCATTTGCCAAGTTACAACTGCTGTCCCCGTGGGCTTTATTCACTTTATTCCGTGACAATGCCACTAAGGTTGCCAGTATGTGTTGTAGCCCCCTAGAAGCACCTCTCTCCCCGAACCCCATGCTCTGAACCCCGTGCGACGCTCTTCTACTGTACGCTCTTTAGGCGCCTGCATTGCCTGGGGCATCCCTTCCTTTGGCCGGCTGCCAATGCATGTCCAAGGCCTCCTCTCGCCAAGCCCAGAGTGATCAACAAGTCTCGGAGGAGGCAGGGCTTGTGAGCTTGTGAGCTTGAGTGTGTAGGGGGGCCACAGGGCGCTGCATTTTATCAGGACATACGCTTCGAGCCAGGCAAAGGGATGTTCGTAGCTAGGAACAGTCGAACAGCCTCACGCGTCCAAGGTCCAAATGCATCGTTGCCATAGTCTGATTCATATCTGAACCAACCAGATGCCTTCAAGGCTCCGCTGAGCAATGTTAAAGAACCCTGTCTACTCGACCCTGAGCATGAAAGCATGAGTACCCCAAGCTTTAGAACCCCAAGCCCCCCCCCCCCCCCCCCCCCCGCCGGATTCAGGTGGACTGGGAGACTTTGGAGGCCCTTTGCCGAACACTTAACTGTAGTTGAATATATTCATATACATCTACTTACATATCCCTAAACCCTAAACCCTAAACCCTAAACCCTCTTTTGTACTTCGTTAATGGCTTATCGGCTTCGGGACTTCGAGTTGGAGTTTCGATGCTCGGCGTGGAAGTCCAGATTGAGGCTTCCTCGTGGGAAGGTTGTTAAGCCCCGGCCATCATCCTGAACCTGGGCAATCAGGAGGGCGCCCTTTTCGATGACTTTCCTGGAGAGGCCATGGACCTCTGTGATCATGCTTTTGGGTTCAGACCTGCATCTCGCACAGGGGAGCCGCGAGCGCCACAGAAGTAGTAGAGTTTGAGTTGACTTGCGTGAAGCGGGAGGTCTTGAAGGACTATAACTAGTGAGTGACCTGCACGACCTGTCCGAACTAGCAAGAGCCCAGCTGCACTTGTAATCAGGCTTTGTGACCTGCTATACAGCATGTCCCCTTCCCCCCCTAAGCTCCACATGGAATCCGAATTCGGCTTTGTGCGTCAAGGCTTCGCAGCAGTCAAGCACGAGCCCGGGACTTAAAGCGAGGCTGCCAGACACATCAGACACCAGTTTCATCCAGCTGAGCTGAGATACCTTCCACACCTTTCCAGTTTCGATCTTTTTTGTTTTCAGGTTCCAGCTGGTTTGGGGTTTGGAAGACATTGTGCGCCTTTGTATGCTGGCTTCGTCAGCAGATTGCTTGCCCGAAAAGCAGTCCAGAGCACCGGATAAGGATGGTCGTACTCGCAGGATGTACGCCGTGGTAGGGAGCACGGCCTTAAGGTTCACGAGAGCTGGAGGCTCACGACATGTCCATGGGATCCAGATCTTTCCTGAGTACTTACTCCCTATAGTACTCCCAAATACTCCCGTGTGAACTGCGTCGGTGCAGGCTCCGTCTTGATCTGAAACACGTTTTGTTATGCTGCGTGAGTGCGTTCATATGGCTCCTTATCCATCTTGGTGAGTGTATGTATTCGGCGGCCCTTTAAGGATACGAGTGCCACTGACATGTACGGTGGAGCGGAGACTCGAGGTGACAACGCTGCACCTGGCGGGGCAAGCGCCGCCGAGGTTGTGAGAGAAAAGAGAAGCTTCTGGTCTCGGAGTCTGCGTTGGGATTTGGTATGGGCTGTCTTGCAGAGCTTTTGCTTCATGACTGAATATGAGACTGAATATGATCATCAGAGCACTCGGCGCCGCACAGCGTCAGTTTCTGGACGGGTCCAACATGAACAGGCTATTGGCCAGCGACGCCGCCGGGAGCCAGAAGCCGTAGAGAGGCGCTCGCGGGTAGAGCAGAGCAGGTCGGCCTACAGGGGGGAATAAGGGGCTCATCATGGCTCATGGTCACCGGCTGATTTGGCAACAACGTGCCGCCGCGTGGGCTCGAAGCTTGTTTCTGTTTGTTTGTCAAATAGGATGTTTCAGCTTCTCGGCTGCAGAACCACATCTTTGTGGATGTTTCTTCTTGGTTGTTCAGAGACGAGATGAAGGCATAAGCTCAAAGCTAAGGGGAGTCCGCGGGCGACTACCGCAAATCCTACATAAGCCTCAAACAAACATGCATCAAGCCCCTCTGTAAATCCTTTGTACCGCCTGCCCTCCGCGCCGCAGACCTGCCGAACCTATGAGGCGAGTGTGGCTGCTTTGCGGCGCCGTGCGGCACTCCGCGATGGCAAGGCAGGGTGGGCTGTGGTGGGCGGGCTTGTGGAAGGCTTGGGATCCAGGGTCTGTATGCTGTACTCGTAGGAGTTTAGGGCGCAAGACTGTTGTGGTTGAATTGTAAACGCTTGCGCCCGCGCGCCGCCTCGGCCGCCGGCTGGCCCAATGCGGCGTGTAGCATGCGCAGGACCAGTGAGGGGGGCGTTTGCTAGGCGTCAGGGTGGTCCCTGGGTTGAAGGGAGGTTTCCAGGGGTAACAACGCGGTGCAGGGGGGCCCAGGCAGGTCCCAGTTCCCGGGCGAGTTCCGGGGTTTTGTTCTAGACGCCTCTCGGCTGGAAGCCTGTGTGATTGCATGTGTTTAACTTGTTGGAATCGAAAGACAAGGGTCGGGCTATTGGAACTACGGAGGGTCTTCGGAACGACGACCACGATACCAACATTACTCAATCTCATGTACGGCCACCGATAAAGGTCAATTGACAAAAAATGGGCGGCAAACGCCAAACTAGACGACGACCCGCATGTCTCCGGTCCTACTGTTGATGGATTTGATGATATGCGGCGGATCCTTAACCCAGTCTGGGATTTCGGCCTTCGCCAGAGAGACCGGGCGCACGTGTTGTAGAAGTCAAGCCGGCAGGTGCTCCAACGGGCAGAGGCAGGGAGTCTGCTTCATGTTTGGGTCGTGTCGACTCTGAGGGGCACGTGGGCCTTGCGGGGTGAGCCTGTCGTGTGAAGATGAGATGCCCTAACTTGTGGGTTTCTCGCGATCCTTCAGCAGCAGCCAGCACTACTCATACAGTTCCCTTCTGGGAGCGGAATGCTCTCTCAAGCTCATTCAAACAAGAATCGCAAGCTCCACACTCGGTGTACCCTCTCCTCCTGTCGCTTTTTCCCAGCTCCAGGGCAGGCTAGTGCCCTCCGTCATCAACAACGCGCTCCGCGAGGTCCTGAAACAGTGGCCTCGTCTGAGACATGGGGGCTTTTAAGGTTGAAGCACGAAAGCTAGCTGAGCTCGACTTGAGTTTAGTATGTTTAGTCTTGCTTTGGCAGGTGGAGCCTGGATTGCTGTGAGCAATTGATTCATAGTGTGAGCGGCAGGGAGTGGAGGGGGGAGGGGGAGGAGCGGGGGGGGGCAAGGGGGAGGGGTCGGCATTGGTTATTTGGGTTTGTCCATTTTTTGGGGGGCCCAGGTTTAAGAAGGGCACATGGGTTGCACACCCGCGAAACATACCCCGAAACGTAATCAGCTACATGAATCCCAAGGACAACGCTAAATGAGTCCTCCACAGACAAAAGGGGTCTGTGTCGAATGTGCGTCGAGCATTGCTGCCAGCGAGCCTTGAAAATCATCCTTGGTGCGAGGGGTCCCCAACCGAATATCAATTTCAAGTTTTCTCTTCGGACAAAACCTCCTTCATGTCCGAACCTTTCTAAGCCAAACTTGCAAGGCCTCACATAGCAAGCACACACCGTCTCACGATTCCCAACATGCCCCGGAACACTCTTCACTCAGCGTAAAGGATATAAAGCTTGTGGTGCAGAGGTCCCTGGACGCCGCTCACCAGGCAGAGGAGGTGAAGGCGAATGCGTGCCTCGGTGGCCGTGATGCACGTCCTGCTGAAGCCGAAGTCATCTCGGAATGATTGGGGCTCTTAGAGGCAAGGCATGGCAGTGGCAGACCAGCCCTAAATCAAGATGCTTTCTCTGGGAGAGATGCCCCAGAAACCCGTGGCATTGATGTCAAAGCTCGAGGAGGAAGCCCTAAAGCATGCAATGAGGAGGAGGGGGAGGAGGAGGTGAAGTTTTCAGAATCATTCCAATTTTCAACCAAGGACTGCTTTCCGGGAGGTCGCGAAGAAGAGGGAATCGGAGGCCAAGAACAAGACCCAGGTCGGCTCATGCGGTCAGTGGTTGTCTCGGTGGTTTCTAAGCTTAGGGTGTTTAGGTTCCATTTCAGGTAGCACGCTTGAATACGGGATCCAGACACAGCTCATTCGTGCCAGGAGACGGCACAGATGCTAGAGCAGCTCACCAGCCAGAAGCAGATGCCGCTCGGCAATGTGAACAAGAAGTGGAGTTGCAGGACAGGTGGCCAGGATTTGCGCGTCTTGTTTTTTGAAGGAAGTGTTGGTTGAGCCACATGTCTTATGCTGGTCAAGTCAAAAAAGCGCCCAATAGGCCCAGAAATTCTATTATCCTCTAAACATACTTTACCAAGTTCTGAAGGAGGATTGGCCTTGGCCTGGGTATCAGACCTCGAGTCCTGTCTACTTGGGCTCCCAAACTCCTTTAAAGTTGTGCACGCGGGCCCACTCGCCATTTCCAGGTCGAGCTGTCTATAGTTGTTGGAGGTCGCTCCTGCTGTGGCGGCTTTCTGTTCACCAAGCCTTGCAATGGCCCGCTCCAGCTCTCTGCTCGCTTTCTTGCTGTTGGCGCTCGGCTGCTCCGCGATGCTTTGCTTTGTGGGCACAACTCCATCTCCTGTGAGCAAGTCTTTGCGCGCGCCAGCGGTTCAGATGGAGGCACGCGGTGGCAGTGAGGGCGCGCTTGGCGACATGAGCCCTGACACGTACATCATCGGAATCACGGTGTTTGGAATTGCATCCTTGTTCGCCAACATCAGCGGCTTCTTCAATCCATGAGGATGAAGACAGGCTCAGGCCACTGAAAGTGGGCCGGTATCCTAGTAAGCGGGATCGTTGATTTTTAAAGCCCGAAGCAGTATCCTTGAGAGACCAGGGAACCAGCTATGCTGCAGGCGTGCCGAGAGACTCGAAAAAGGAATAGGGAGCGTCATGTGCAATGTGTGTGTTGGCCAGGAAGACAGTCATGAAGTGATCGCAGCAGCTGCAGGCATGCGCGACCCGGCGGCCATTTCCAGGTCGAGCTGTCTATAGTTGTTGGAGGTCGCTCCTGCTGTGGCGGCTTTCTGTTCACCAAGCCTTGCAATGGCCCGCTCCAGCTCTCTGCTCGCTTTCTTGCTGTTGGCGCTCGGCTGCTCCGCGATGCTTTGCTTTGTGGGCACAACTCCATCTCCTGTGAGCAAGTCTTTGCGCGCGCCAGCGGTTCAGATGGAGGCACGCGGTGGCAGTGAGGGCGCGCTTGGCGACATGAGCCCTGACACGTACATCATCGGAATCACGGTGTTTGGAATTGCATCCTTGTTCGCCAACATCAGCGGCTTCTTCAATCCATAAGGATGAAGACAGGCTCAGGCCACTGAAAGTGGGCCGGCATCCTAGTAAGCGGGATCGTTGATTTTTAAAGCCCGAAGCAGTATCCTTGAGAGACCAGGGAACCAGCTATTCTGCAGGCGTGCCGAGAGACTCGAAAAAGGAATAGGGAGCGTCATGTGCAATGTGTGTGTTGGCCAGGAAGACAGTCATGAAGTGATCGCAGCAGCTGCAGGCATGCGCGACCCGGCGGCCATTTCCAGGTCGAGCTGTCTATAGTTGTTGGAGGTCGCTCCTGCTGTGCCGGCTTTCTGTTCACCAAGCCTTGCAATGGCCCGCTCCAGCTCTCTGCTCGCTTTCTTGCTGTTGGCGCTCGGCTGCTCCGCGATGCTTTGCTTTGTGGGCACAACTCCATCTCCTGTGAGCAAGTCTTTGCACGCGCCAGCGGTTCAGATGGAGGCACGCGGTGGCAGTGAGGGCGCGCTTGGCGACATGAGCCCTGACACGTACATCATCGGAATCACGGTGTTTGGAATTGCATCCTTGTTCGCCAACATCAGCGGCTTCTTCAATCCATGAGGATGAAGACAGGCTCAGGCCACTGAAAGTGGGCCGGTATCCTAGTAAGCGGGATCGTTGGTTTTTAAAGCCCGAAGCAGTATCCTTGAGAGACCAGGGAACCAGCTATGCTGCAGGCGTGCCGAGAGACTCGAAAAAGGAATAGGGAGCGTCATGTGCAATGTGTGTGTTGGCCAGGAAGACAGTCATGAAGTGATCGCAGCAGCTGCAGGCATGCGCGACCCGGCGGCCATTTCCAGGTCGAGCTGTCTATAGTTGTTGGAGGTCGCTCCTGCTGTGGCGGCTTTCTGTTCACCAAGCCTTGCAATGGCCCGCTCCAGCTCTCTGCTCGCTTTCTTGCTGTTGGCGCTCGGCTGCTCCGCGATGCTTTGCTTTGTGGGCACAACTCCATCTCCTGTGAGCAAGTCTTTGCGCGCGCCAGCGGTTCAGATGGAGGCACGCGGTGGCAGTGAGGGCGCGCTTGGCGACATGAGCCCTGACACGTACATCATCGGAATCACGGTGTTTGGAATTGCATCCTTGTTCGCCAACATCAGCGGCTTCTTCAATCCATGAGGATGAAGACAGGCTCAGGCCACTGAAAGTGGGCCGGTATCCTAGTAAGCGGGATCGTTGATTTTTAAAGCCCGAAGCAGTATCCTTGAGAGACCAGGGAACCAGCTATTCTGCAGGCGTGCCGAGAGACTCGAAAAAGGAATAGGGAGCGTCATGTGCAATGTGTGTGTTGGCCAGGAAGACAGTCATGAAGTGATCGCAGCAGCTGCAGGCATGCGCGACCCGGCGGCCATTTCCAGGTCGAGCTGTCTATAGTTGTTGGAGGTCGCTCCTGCTGTGCCGGCTTTCTGTTCACCAAGCCTTGCAATGGCCCGCTCCAGCTCTCTGCTCGCTTTCTTGCTGTTGGCGCTCGGCTGCTCCGCGATGCTTTGCTTTGTGGGCACAACTCCATCTCCTGTGAGCAAGTCTTTGCGCGCGCCAGCGGTTCAGATGGAGGCACGCGGTGGCAGTGAGGGCGCGCTTGGCGACATGAGCCCTGACACGTACATCATCGGAATCACGGTGTTTGGAATTGCATCCTTGTTCGCCAACATCAGCGGCTTCTTCAATCCATGAGGATGAAGACAGGCTCAGGCCACTGAAAGTGGGCCGGTATCCTAGTAAGCGGGATCGTTGATTTTTTTAAAGCCCGAAGCAGTATCCTTGAGAGACCAGGGAACCAGCTATGCTGCAGGCGTGCCGAGAGACTCGAAAAAGGAATAGGGAGCGTCATGTGCAATGTGTGTGTTGGCCAGGAAGACAGTCATGAAGTGATCGCAGCAGCTGCAGGCATGCGCGACCCGGCGGCCATTTTCAGGTCGAGCTGTCTATAGTTGTTGGAGGTCGCTCCTGCTGTGGCGGCTTTCTGTTCACCAAGCCTTGCAATGGCCCGCTCCAGCTCTCTGCTCGCTTTCTTGCTGTTGGCGCTCGGCTGCTCCGCGATGCTTTGCTTTGTGGGCACAACTCCATCTCCTGTGAGCAAGTCTTTGCGCGCGCCAGCGGTTCAGATGGAGGCACGCGGTGGCAGTGAGGGCGCGCTTGGCGACATGAGCCCTGACACGTACATCATCGGAATCACGGTGTTTGGAATTGCATCCTTGTTCGCCAACATCAGCGGCTTCTTCAATCCGTGAGGATGAAGACAGGCTCAGGCCACTGAAAGTGGGCCGGTATCCTAGTAAGCGGGATCGTTGATTTTTTTAAGGCCCGAAGCAGTATCCTTGAGAGACCAGGGAACCAGCTATGCTGCAGGCGTGCCGAGAGACTCGAAAAAGGAATAGGGAGCGTCATGCACAATGTGGTGTTGGTTTGTTGCACAACACCTCTGCTTTAGGCTTGAGGCGAAGCAGCGTGAGGTAAACCAGCTCATGTCGCGACTTGTCTGCAAAAAACGTTGACTGGTCTCTGGAGCCAACGAAGCATGAAGCAGCATTCATACTGTATCGCTCAGGTGTAGTCTTTTGGCATCTCTGGCCACTGTTTTCACAGCGCTTTGCAACTGTTCGATGCTGCGATCGTTTATGGATATGAAGACTGTTCGAATGCGACTGGTGGTTATTAGGGTGTAGGTTCGTGCTGGAAGTCACATCCTTTAAAGGCATGTTGTGGCTAATTTGTGAAGGATGACGTGCTGTAGCGTCCATATCCAGGTTTTCCCGTAGATTTTCCTGTCGGCCACTTTAGCCAGCCAGAATCCTCGTTCAGTGGCAATTCTGTCCCGTCCCCCGCCTGGACGCACTTGATTATCTCCTCAGCTCTCCACCTAAGGACCCAGGACCAGTCGCAGGATGCCTGGCAAGCAGAAGCGGCGGAGCTCGCCGGCCTGCAGGACACCCCGCCATTTGTTCATGTTTCCTTTCGATGCTAAAATTTTTAATGGAGGGGACAGCGGGGGGGGGGGGGGGGGAAATTCGAAAAACATGGGACGATGATTGAAAAAACACATTTGAACAAGTGACCTGCGAGAGCCCCTGAGCCCTAACCTTCGTCGCAAGTTCATGTATCATCAAGAGCCAATCCTCTTTTGGTAAGTGTCAGGTTGAAACATGTTGAAACCCTGAAGTTTTCAATTCTCCGAAGCTTCAGTTTGGAAACCCGACTTGACCTACATCCCTGAACTACTCCAGCCCGATCTCAACCCCACACGTGAAGCGGCTAAACCTAGCTGCTACAAGTTATTCTTAATGTGGCTGTCGCTGCATTGACATCTTGATCCTGGCACCGTGCCCTCTTCAATGGTGTCGATAGTAACATGTCAGACGCCCCTAACACCTTGAAATCTGCTGCTCCCATCTCGTGCTCATGAGTCATGGGCCTTAGCCGAAGTATTGGCAAGCCCCCGTCTCGCTTCGCCAATGAAGGCAAATCTGACGAAAGAAGAAGGCTGCCGGCTTGTGTTCAAGGTTTGGTGGAGGTTTGGTGGATTGCCGGTTCGGTGTCGGATCTCCAAGAATCGAGATGCCTCTGTAGCCAAGAGCTGACATCCAGGCTCACACTGATTGTTCATGAAGGAACTTCCGCGGCTCATGGCGAAGAAAGTGCGTTTACGACACATAATGCTGCATCCGAGTGGCCTCGGCCTAAGCCTGAACAGCCTTTCAGCCGCGTTTACCGAGCGCGCAGGGCTTTATGCAGACCTCCAGAAGAAGGTGCAGAAGGAGATTGCGCGGCTCACTGACCAGCATCCTGGTGATCTTACGCTTTGGAATTCGGGGGCATCGCACGAAAGACTGGAGGTGCTCCAAGCACATATGCCCTGTTCCAACAAAATCCCTAGCCTTGCGGACTCTTGTGATAGGTCCCACGGTACACGGCAGCACTCCACATGCTAATGGAGAACCGAGAGAGAGCCGAAGACCCCCCTTCATTCGGAGTTCCTGCGACGCGCCGGAGGCATTGTTTACCTACCTAGATGTTTCGTGTATGTCTTGAAACCAGAACACCCACCATGCAGGTCTGGGTAAACCCTAGGTTCTAGACCTCAACCCCAAAACCCTCAAAACCCTGGAAGCCCTTGGAAAACCTGCCAGCTGTAGCAGCATCTACAACCCCAGAAGCCCCTAAACAAAACGGCAAAATCCCCAAAACACGAAAAGACCCAAACACCCCAGCAAGCCTTCAAGGCAGCTGGCTGCCGACAAGCGCCTTCGGGAGCTCCAGGCGGCCTACGAAAAGAAGCAGGCGCTCCCTCTCCTCACCCTCTCCGTTCTCCCTTGTCCCTTCCTCACCCCTCACCCCTCTCCCCTCTCCCCCCTCTCTCCTCCCCCTAAGTGGGATAGGCGTGCACAAGAGGGTCCAACATGAATGGGTACCATATTCTATAATTCTGCAAAGATGAGATATGGCCGAAAGGCATGTGGAAACCTTCTGTCAAGCTCCCCAGCCCAAAAGCTTGTGCCCTAATGTTGGAGTCACATTTTTGAATGGGGTGGTAATAGCAATATTCGGCGGGACAGAAGGCCCCGGCCCAAGACTACCTTACTTTCCATTACGGGAGAGGTTTTCGGGCTGATGTGTGTAAACAAATCCATATAGGGGGGTCCGATGAAAATAATAATGGGGTGACAATTGTAAATTTGGTTGCCCAGGAGTCTAAAATTTTCACTAAAGCTTAAGATAAGAATCACTTAAGCTTGAGACTTCAGCCGTCGGGTCCTGGTCTAAGGCTTAGGATAAGAGTCCCTTAAAGCTTAAGACTTCGGCCTTCGGGTCCTGGTCTAAGGCTTAAGACAAGAATCCCTCAAGCCGGTAGCGAGTTAGGCCTAAGAAGAACAGCGTTACCCCACCCTCAAAGTAGGCGTGGAGAGATGGCACAGCATCGAACAGCTTGGACTTAGTTGTCTTAATCTTAAAGCTTCAGCCTTCGGGTCCTGGTCTAAGGGTTAAAACAAGACAAGAATCCCTCAAGCTTAAAATTTCAGCCTTCGGTCCCCTGGAATTCTGGAAACCGCCAGAGGTCTCAAAACAAGTTTCCTTGCTTAAATCCTTATCTGCCGGGGCTCGAAAACAAATCCCAACAGGGTACCCCTTACGGGCCTCCAAAATGACAATAATAAAGGGGTGGCAATAATAATTTCAGAGACGGGGGGGGTGCCGAGAAACCAAGGAAGCCTCAAGTTTAAAAGGCTGCCTTTAAGGCTTAAGATAAGAATCCCTTAAGCTTAAGACTTCAGCCAACGGCTTGAAAACAAGCCAAAGGAGACCCTCCTTGACAGCTTAACCCCCCCCCCCCCCCCCCCCTGCAGACCCCAGAACCCAGACCCCCAGAAGCGCCAGGAATATGTTAATTTCACCCCTCTTTTTTTCCACCCTCAAAACTCCGGAAACTAAAACAAAATCGGGGGGGGGGGGGTTATTAAAGGCGCCCGAACATGAAACAAGCACATGTAGGTTTTCGGGGTTCGATATGAATGGATTTCCAATGGCAGGAGAAGGTGGATCAGCTTCGAGAGCAGGCCGTGGCACGGGGCAGCATCGCCAGGCTTGGCAGGGTCGGGCTGTTGCTCGTTGGGGTCAAGGGGGGGTGGGAGTCCTCCTAAACCCTCTAAAGCCTGTAAGCCCTGTACAGAACTTACAGAACACTAAGAGCAAACCTGAAAAACAGCTGGTCAACGCAAGAGACTGGGAGCGCTGCCAGGAATGCTTCACAGCAGGCAGACGTGGTGCAGGCCAACCTGGCAGAGGCTTGCAGTGCGGGTTTCGGGTTGAGGGAGAACTCTTTTGATTCTTGGTCGTTGCAAGTGTGTAACATCTCAGATGTTGGCTGTTTGCAATCCACTTTGCCTGCCACTTCTCGGACGTTTCCCTCGCTACTGAATGTCAACCCAAGCCTGTTCTCAACAATTCCACCCGCCCACACACACACACACACACACACACACACACACACACACACACACACACACACACACACACACACGCACACACCCACGCACACACCCACGCACCCACCCACACACCCACCCACACACGCACCCACACACGCACCCACGCACGCACCCACGCACGCACCCACGCACGCACCCACACACGCACCCACACACGCACCCACACACGCACCCACCCACACACGCACCCACACACGCACCCACACACGCACCCACCACACGCACCCACACACACGCACCCACACACGCACCCACCACACACACGCACCCACACACGCACCCACACACGCACCCACACACACACCCACACACACACGCACACACGCACCCACACACGCACACACGCACCCACACGCACCCACACACGCACCCACACACGCACCCACACACGCACCCACACACGCACCCACCCACGCACCACGCACACGCACCCACGCACCCACGCACCCACCCCACGCCCCCCGCGCCCCGCCCCCCCGCGCCCCCGCGCCCCCGCCCCGCGCCCCGCGCCCGCCCGCGCGCCCGCGCGCCGCGCGCCCGCGCGCCCGCGCGCCCGCCCGCGCGCCCGCGCGCCCGCGCGCCCGCGCCCCCGCCCCCGCGCCCCCGCCCCCACCCGCACCGCCCCCGCCCCCGCCCCGCCCCCCCCCCCGCACCCGCCCCCGCCCCCCCCGCACCCGCACCCGCACCCCGCCCCCGCCCCGCCCCCGCCCCCGCACCCGCACCCGCACCCGCACCCGCATGCACCCGCACCCGCACCCGCACACGCACACGCACACGCACATGCACTTTGACTTGACGCATGCACATGCGAAGGACATCGACGAAACGTGCAAAAAACAGGTCACTCACCTATGCCCCGCCCCACTGAGGGTAGCAAGACACCCGAGTACTTCTGATCCTGGGTGTTGGTTTCCGTGCTGCTACATCACTCACCATGTATATTTAATCACACACGGGGTTGGCCCTCCAAGTGTGGGCCCCTCTTGGTACCCGAAAGTTTACACTCTACGACATTACCACGATGCAGACCCGGAAGGGGTCATAGGACCGCAGCTTACCACATGGGACAAGGCCTACTCGGGCAACCCAATGAGCCCCACGCGCCTGTGAATCTTGTAGAGGCCGAAGGCCTTGTCAACAAGCACCGCCGGTTGGCGGAGACCTCTGAGAAGGCTCGAAGGGTGTGGCACAGAGTTCGACATGGAAGGGTGTTGGGGAATGCTTGGGGGTGAGTGTTTTGGGGCGTAGCGATGGGGTCTCCTTTGGGGCACAAAGTAGAGCTCTACTCGTTGGGTCACCCAACGCGGAGGTCTTCCTGCAGGCCAAGATGGACGTCGACCATGCAGAGCGGCTGTGTTTGGACTCCGAGCACGAGGCACCCCCCAGCGCAAGGTAGAACCTAAGGCTCAGGAGGCTTTGTGCCAGGCCAGAACAGCTGCGGAGCAGGCACAAGTGAATAGTAAAGTGATTATTCGCATATGATAAAACATAAGCGAGGGGAAGAGAAAGTCCTAAGCCCCCAACTCATATGACTCGTAGCAGAGGAACCCTCAACCCTGGCAGGTCGCCGAAAAGAAGGAATTGAAACTTCGCGTGCTGGCCGCAAGAAGTTCTCTACAAAGCTTCTACAACAACGTGGACAACCTGTCGAGGTCCTTGGAGGGGAAGATCATGGATGCTGGGCTTCAGTCAAAGCTTTTCGGGGCCGAAGTGGGCACAGAATGTACAGGGATGCACAGGGATGTAGAGAGTGTAGGGCGGTGCGGGGGCGGTAGGGTTTTGGGGCCAGCCCAGCGCTTCCTCAACGAGATGCCTCCTGAATTGGAGTTCGTGGTAAGAGATCGCCCAAAATGGACCTGGGCCCTAGATTTGTTTTGCGGGTCCAAGAGGCTCAGAGGCGGTACAAGGAACACTGACGAGGCCAAGCCTCAGTTGCCGCCTGGCGCCGAGGATCCAGAGGCTGACGCCCCCAAGCTCTTCCGAGCCGACCCGCTCGCGGCTGTGGCCCTGCACCCTGGAATATTCTTCTGTAGGGTTGCGATGGGTTTGGGATGGGTTTTTGGATGGGTTGTTGGATGGGTTGTTAGATAGGCCAGGGGTTCGAAGGCTTTTCCGAGGGCTCCCGGAGGCAGGTTTGATTTGGCTTGGTTGTCGTTTGACACCTTCATCGCCTTCATTGCCCACCGCCTGTCGATTTTTTTGCCCACCTCTACTGGAGCCCAGGCGCAGCTACAACGAGATGACCGCAAGCTTCAGGCTTTGCTGGGATGTTGGGCTTGGGGTTCCGGTTTCTAGGTCAGCTTCCCATGCTTGGATGTGGCTAGGCACGGCAACGTAGCCAAGCGAGCCGACATTTGAGCATGTAATTGACCTCCACACTACATCACATGGGGCCCTGGCAGCTGGCATGTCGGAAAGGAACGTACCATCAGATTCAGCTCCCAATTCAGCGACCCTAGAATTTGTGCAAGGCCCTACTACCCCAGTTACCCCAGACGCGCAAAAGACAGCCATGGCCTCGTAGAGGGTTCTCGTGCCCTCCTGAGGCGGCTTTTCGTCAAGTCCAAGGACATGAGAGCGCTCTGTTACGTGAGGCTATTTTAGATCTCTGAGTCTAAAGTCGTATCCCAATTACTTGGGACCAGCGGGGGGTGTATGAGCGGCTGCAAGACTGGATAATGTAGGACCTACCTCTGTCAATGTTGAACTACAATCTGCGCCTGAAGCCATGCTCATGCATGCTGCCGTGGCTCTGCATTGAGCATGCTTTGGGTCCTTAAGGGAATCTAAGAATCTAAGCGTGTCCACAAGCATCCACAAACCCTCGATCCCAAAGCGCTTGAACACAAAAGCCCGCAAGCCCCTTGAAACCTAAGCCATCCTAAGCGCGTCAAAGTACAGTCTAAGCCCAAGTACTGTATCCCAAACGATCACGAAACTGCAAAAAGCACCCACTGCAGAAGGATACCTACGAAGTAGTTGCCGGGAGCATCCCGGAGATCGAGGGCAATGCCGAGGCGGCGCCCTTTGGCGGCGATTGAAGAGAGGGATGTGGAGAGTTTCGGGTTTCGGGTTTAAGGATTCTCCAAAAGGGATCTAGGTTAGAACGACGCCCATGAACGAGCAGCCCTTCGGGTGAGTTGAGGGCTTCGGGGAACTAGCGGCCTTTGGCAGTTTTCAGGCTGAGCATCGTGTTTTTCAGAAGCTGCCCTACCGGCAGCTTTTCGCCGGCAAGAGGGCCATGAGTCCCAGAAAGGCTATAGGGTTTAGGGCGACCTTGCAGGGTGCAGGAGGAAGGAAGCGTTCGACAGCATGACCTCAACTTTGACCTGAGGTTGAAGCTGCTGTGTGACCCCTTTGAGGCCATCGAGGAGGTTGGGAACCAGCGAGTGGCGGCAGTCCTTCTTAGAAGGTTCAAGGAGTTAAGCCTCTGCAAAGGGCAGAGACCAGGATGCCACCCTTTGCCTCTGCTGCAGGAAGCTCAGCGCGCCGGCAACAGCACAATATTCGAGGAGAAGTGCGGGCCTTTTCTCTGGAGCGACCTCGGGTGGCCTGGCAAAATCACTTGAAAGCTTAGTGTGGGGGGGGGGGGGGGGGAAGGGAAATTGGGGCGTCCCCGGCAGCTGTTGCCTCTGGGTTCTGTTGGGTCATCGCAAATGAAGGGCTCTTCTTTGCACGTAAACTGCGAAAGAACACCTCAGAGAGCTGCCTAATCTACGATCTGGCTCAGGCTCTTGAACTGGCCTTTGAATGCAGGTTTGCATCACTCTTCATCTATGCACTTCGCGAAATCAAGCCACATGCCCCTCGAAACATATCATCATCAGAAATGTACGTGTCCCTTGTTCGCAGACTCGCTGATGCTAGACATTGTCAGTCCGTCTTCTTTCCGACGGTGCCTGGACTCTGGAAGGCCCTAAACCCTAGACAGACTAGAGAAGCTGCAGCCCTGAATCCCGAAATCCCGAACCCTAAAATTGCTACCACAGACGTCGAACAAACAATTGGAGCTGCTGTTCCTAGCGTGGCATAGCTCACATGCGCATACCCGCTGCTGAAGTGGTGCGTGGTCATGAACGTGGACCATCATGGACCCTCTCGCCCCACCTCCATGCTTTGGCACATGCGCCTGGTCATGAAACATGGACCTACCTGATCCCCCCCTCCTCATTCCCTGCACTCGCCCGCTCCCGGCCCGTTCGCGTGGGTCATGAACATGGACTACTGCCCTCACACTCCCGATCAAATGGTGCATGCTCATGAACATGGAACATCCTTCGCTGCGCCTGCCCCCCCCCCCTCCCCTCCCTCCACCTTCTCACGTATATGGCACATGTGCATGGATGGTCACGAGCATGGAGCCCCCTCCCCCCCACCTGGGAGGCGTATGGGTGCTTTTGAGGAGTAGGTCAGTAAGGTACCTGTTATATATGGTTGTGACCTGAGTCATTAAGGCATATTAAGGCCGCAACCCTACTGACACCTGCCCACCGCCGCAACTTGTGGAATGCCCACAAAGCAGCTCTGGGCGTATGTTTAGGATAGGCAGGCTCTGGGTGCATGCGTGCTTCTTTGTCAGACATGAGCCGCGTAAGCCAAGCTTTCCAAACATAGCACCTTTCGAAGATCAAGCCGATTTCAGAGATTTCTTCACCCGCTGCTTCGACTCCATGAGCTGAGACGTTTCAAAAAGTGTGAGTGCTCTGATGTGATCAAAGATCCAAGCAATCTGCAAGCCAAGTCTTCAACTCTTCATAGATGAACGTGGTAGTAACATGGTATTTCGTCGAGCCAGTAACATTCAGCATTGTTGGGTCCGTTGGGTAGCATCGCCGCCATACAAACCCAAAGATGAACCGTGACTATTCCTTAGCCAAAACCCCTGCTGCACCCGAAATTGTCTGCGGTGAAGGTCCAGGACCCCCTTTTCCTTGCTCCCAGTGACCGAACCCAGGGTGGAGCGGCGGCCCTTCCCCAGCTTCGCGGAGATGGAGCCTGGCAGGCGGGGAGGTCTTCTGAGACTTTTCTGGGCTTTGGGGTGACACTGGTAAAAAAAAGCCGTGGGTGGCTGCAGACCACCTTGCAGGCACATTTTTGATGGTGCAGAAGAAGTGGAGTACAGTGGCGACGGTGCGCTTGTAGGTAGAAAGTAAACCTTCAAGAAGCTAGATCCTAAGTGCTACGAATAGGACTGTTCATTGAAAGTCCACCGCTTTCGGCATTGCATCTGCAGCCGGCATCCGGCGTTTCTGCATCTAATTCTTGCACAAGAACTTCCATACTTGGGCACCCCTCCTCCTGCAGGCAGGAGTCTGAGGACATGCAGGAGGAGGCCTTAGCTGGAGGGTTGTTTATGGGGATGGCAAAGTGTGGCGCGTGCGTGGTGGCAACTGCTACAAAAAACTCACACATGCTGACAGGAGCCAGAGTCTCCGACCAACATGTGGAAGGACGAGGAGGAGACTGAGGAGACCCAGACAGGACGCGAGTGACCACAGCGACCCAAAGCTTCTGTAGCCACAAGCTGCCCCTATTCTACAAAGACTCCCTCAAAGGCCTCGGCGATGTTCAGAAGAGCAATGGCCTGGCTTTTATTGTGCTGTAAGAGGGAGAGCAAGCAGTTAGGGCAATTGAGGCTTGGTTCTTCGCTGCGCCAGGAGATCTGCCATCATCACCAGTTGGTTTGCCACCGCTCCCTTTGGAACGATTGCCAACGAAGACCACGCATGCTCCCGAACCAGAGCCGGAAAGCATGTCACCAAAGACGCCAGTTATGGGTTTGCCGCCACCCCCGTTGGATAGACTGCCGTCGAAGACGACTCCTTCTCCCAATGCTGTACCAGACTGAACGGCGGTTACGCTGGCTTAGAGGAGACGGGTGGCGAAATGATGGTGCAGATTCATTAGCTGTTGGGCCGACACGAGTTACCACGTAGGAGCAGTGAAACATCGCAACCTGTTTCTCTACCCACCCTTCAGATGTACTGTAGCATTAGCTTTGGGCCAGTGAAAACAACTGCCCTGCAGCTCTCACTCCTGCTGCGACATGTCCACCTCATGTTGTGAAAAGGCTTGTGCTTTCCAGCGCGTGTGTGCAATATACTCAAGGACCATAATGTAGATCGAGCCTCCATGTCATGGGCCCACCCAGCAGCCTTCGGAGGAGCCCTACTTGGTGCATATTCCCGCAAGGTTCTCTACACCTTGTAGTACCTTAAGTAGCCTTTTTGGACCAGGCCGCCCTCCAAAGTTGTTGAGGACAAGGACTCGGCGTTCAAGTGTCTGTTAGGTGCTTAAACATGGCCCTTTCAGGTTTTTGCGGATCTTTGGCTCCTTCTTATGAACTTTTATAGGAAGTTGTAGAGGTGACCTTGGACATTGACACATGCGTGTGCCTATAGGGCAATTTACGAGGCCCTTTCTGACAAAGAAGATCTGGCAAACATTACATGACAGGGGTGGAGGCTGCATAGTAAGAGATTCATGAACTTCTTGACGGTTCCTGGGTCTCTTCGTCGGGGGCGCCATCGCATCAATTGCACGTTAGGAGATCCGAAAGGTTCTGCGGGATGTGGAGAGGAAGGCCGGGGCAACCGGGACGAACAACAGACTAGGGTTTGTAACAGATTCCTCTGTCTCCGGACGCCCTTCCAAAAGAATTGTATGGAAACACCGCTTCCGAACCAGCCATTTCGGCCAGGACCGTCCATAAGCATTGCACTGGACGTAAATCGCTAAGGCGGGGTTTGTGAGAGTAGCTAAACGGCCGCTCACTTTGGGGAGAGGGGTTGGGGGTTTTGCGCTATGCTGCCAAGCACACTCAGCCCCAAGAAACCGCTACCTCTGGCACAGGTGCTTCGGCCGGTTGGTCTGAAGAGTGGTCCCTGCCATGTGTTTCCAAAACCAATCTACCGAAACCTCCATGAACTTTAAGCGGCGGAGAAGTGTTCGAAGTGAGAGTCTCCGGCCTGCAAACTGCTGCAACGAAGATCAAAATAAAAGAAGCCGTAGTAGACCGCGTCAAGTATCGTGAAGTCACGTTATGTGCCGTGTGCCCCTTCTGCGGCCAGGCTTGGCGCTTTCGGCACGCCGCAGGAAGCAACAGCAATGAGATGTGCTTTGCAAAGACAGCAGTCGGGAGTTCACGACGAGTTCTGAGCCCGAGCCTTGAGAATCCTGTAATTTGCCATGCAATCAGCTTGATGCCACTCAGTGTGCTTGATTCCTTAAAGTCCACAATACACCAAAAACAGCTTCATGCATGAACACGCTAGTGAGCTCAGCTAGAGAAGCTAGAGTCCAAAGTCTGAGCAGACCGTCAACTTGGAGATACTCTGAGTCATCCCAAGGCGCTTTTCGCCCAGCATCGTTCTGCCAGAGATGGCCGCCGCTGCCTTGGGTGCGTGTTGGGGATGTTTGTTGTTTTGTCGATGCAGTTTGGGGACTTCGCGTCTGCACCGAAATCCTCACCCCGACATGTGTCAAAAATTGCTGCAGGGCATGTCTGCAGGGCGTGTGCCCTGCGGGAGTAGACAACATTCAACAAACAATAGCCAAGAGAAAGCACCACAAACATCACAAACTGCAGATCACTTTCAACAAGCAGGACAGCAACTGTCACAAACGCGACAGCACCTTCAACAACAGCAAGCGTGAGGCAAACCCGCAAACGTCAGTGATACTCGAGTCGCGCGGTTGGTGGTTTCTAGCTTCCTCGTTTGCTGAAGGTGGTTGTCGTGTTTGCGGAATGTAGCTTTTTCTTGTGTGGAATGTACTTGTGGTGTTGAGCAGTGATATTCCGATCACGCGGTTGGGGATTTATGCTTTCGTTCTTTGCTGAATGTGGCTTTCGTGTTTGTTGACTCTGGCTCTTTCAAACGTTGAACATACTAAACAGAGTTGGGCAGTGATACTCGAGTCTCGCGGTTGGTGGTTTCTAGTTTGGTGACGGTAACTATAGCTTCCTCGTTTGCTGAACGTGGTTGATGCGTTTGTGGAGTGTCTTTTTCTAACGTGGATTTTTTCTAGCGTTGTTGGGCAGTGATTTTATCACACGGTGGGTGATTTCTGCTGTCATTGTTTGTTGAACGTGGCTTTTGTGTTTGCTGACTCTGGCTTTCTCAAACGTTGAACGCTAAACAGCGTTATGTTGCACGGGCAGTGATTCTGATACTCGAGTCGGGCGGTTGGTGGTTTCTAATTTGCTGAATGTGGCTAGCTTCCTCGTTTGTTGAACGTTGCTTTTGCTTTTGTTGAATGAGTTTTTGTTCTAATGTTTAAATTTCTGGTGGTGTTGGGCAATGATGTTCCGATCGCGCGGTTGGTGATGTCTGTCGTTGTTTGTTGGATGCGCCTTTTGTGTTTGACTGTGGCTGCAGCAGTGATATTCCGATCACGCGGGTGGTGATTTTGTTTTTCTCATGTTGATTTTGCTAGTGGTCTTGCATGCGGCTGATTGCTGAAAAAGGGTTGGCTACCATGTTTGTTGAATGTGTCCTCCCTGCTTGTCAAGGCGTCTTCTTTGTGATGTTTGCTGAGTGTCGCCTCTGTGTTTCTTGAATGTTGTGGTCGTGTTTGCGAGTTTGTTTGTGAGGGACGTGAGCGGAATGAATGGAAGGCAAGTAGCGACAGGAGACTACGACTACGACATTATGATGAGTCAATATCCACGTGTTGTGACCTCGTGTTAGTTCAGCTCCCATGCGTGGGAGTTTGTTCTTTCCAAGTCGGTATCGGAGGTACTATCGGTACCCC